AAGACAAGACCATTGATTGTTGAAAAATGGAGATTGATTCTTGACATTGCTTCTCCAGGGGAGAGAATAAGGTCTCCCACTGCACAATTATTGACATGTCATTCCTGACTCTTATTCCCTGCATGAACAGTTTGGAGATTATTGATCAGCAGAGCAAAAAGAATAATAAAAAATAAGAAGTCACCATCACTGTCAAAAATGGCCTTTCATTAAAGAACAAAATTCTGATCTTTTGTGATTGTCCTACATAACAGGCCATGGTTTGTCCATTGGAATCATCATTGTGAATTGTAATGAGTAGAGGTTTGATCAAATACAGGGGAAGCACAATCTTTTTTTGCTCAACTGACCCTTCACATTTCTTACTCGTATGCATTTTTTTCCCAGTTAAACTTCTAAGTACAAACTTTACAAGTTTTACATGCAAAGAATGAACTGGAAATTTCCAGGAACGTGATTTTCAGTAAAATCCTCACAAGATGGTAAAAATGTATTGAATATTATTTTAACATGGTCTGGAATTAATTTGGACATTGAAAATAAACCCTGCTTTTTATAAAATCTGCCATTTTCCTAGTTCAGCCCAGAACACACGGGTGGAGCTTGTTAATGATCTCAAGGCAATTGGGACCACAGTCACCAAGCAAACCATTGGTCACGGACTATGCCGCAATGGATTGAAATCCTGCAGCGCCTGCAAGGTCCCCCTGCTCAAGAAGGCACAAGTACAGGCCCGTCTGAAGTTTGCCAATGAACATTTAAATGATTCCGAGAAGGCTTGGGAGAAAGTGCTGTGGTCAGATTAGACCAAAATTGAGCTCTTTGGCATCAACTCAAATCGTCGTGTTTGGAGGAAGAGACCCCAAGTACACCATCCCTACAGTCAAGCACGGAGGTGGACACATTATGCTCTGGGGCTGTCTCTCTGCTTAGGGTACAGGACGACTTCACCATATTGAGGGGCTGATGGACGGGGCCATGTGCCGTCAAATCTTGGACGAGAACCTCCTTCCCTCACCCAGAACACTGAAGATGGGTCTTCCAGCATGACAATGACCTAAAACATACCACCAAGGCAACAAAGGAGTGGCTCAAGAAGAAGCACATTAAGATCTTGGAGTGGCCTAGCCAGTCTCCAGACCTTAATCTTATAGAAAATCTTTGGAAGGAGCGGAAACTTCGACTTGCAAAGCAGCACCCAAGAAACCTTAAGGATTTAGAGAGGATCTGTAAAGAGGAATGGACCAAAATCCCTTCTGAGATGTGTGCAAACTTGGTGACCAACTACAAGAAACGTATTATCTCTGTGCTTGCCAACAAGGGTTTCTCCACCAAGTACTAAATGATGTTTTGCTTTGGGTTTAAATACTTATTTCATGCACAGAAATGCAAATCAATTTATAAGCTTTTTTTCTAGATTTTTGGTTGATTTTTTTGTCTCTATCCATTAAAATAAACCTACCATAAAATGATTGAATCTTCATTTCTTTGTTAGTGGGAAAACTTACAAAATCAGCAGGGGATCAAATAATTATTTTCTCCACTGTATCTCTAAATCCAATTGGATGGTTTGTCCTCAGATTGGGCCTAGGAATTATTGCCAAAATTTATTACAGAAAGTAAAAGTCTTAACAAGCATAACTTGACAATAAATTGTTTTCATAATCAAAGAAAAGTGCATTTCTTTGATTTGCACAACCTAGATGAACTCAGAAAATGTTTTTCTCGGCTTTCTCATTTTAGTGTAATTTTACACACCCCTCAGGGAGCCATGGACCAATGAAAGCACCTTTCATTGTGAAACTATTACATCACACTGTGGCTTTTTTCAGTTAATACAAGAGCTTACTACTCCATTTTGCCTTTTTCATTTCATGCTAAGCCTCTGCTTTCACACTATTCTCCCAGCAGTTCTCCTTTTCTCTTTCGATTAGTATAGCCAACTCTCTGTGAAGCACTTCAGGTACTGTTCGCTTACTCAGTCAAACTTCACTAGTCTTCTGTTTTGCTATAATAGCGCCACACACAGAACTATTAATTCTGAGAAAACGCCAGTACACAACAGCATGCACAGCACATTGTGGTATAAAGTATTGAGCAGAATGATTCTGGCCCTTCTCATGCCATTTAGGAACTAAAAGCAGTTCTGAGATTTTCTTTCTTGACTTGCTCTGTGACAGCTGGCCCAACACACCAAATGCGTTCATGAGTTCGTTTGTCTGGTCTCTGGATACTCGGTATCTTCAATTCATCAGAGCATTTTTTTTTAAATATGACTTTTAGGGCTGTGTGCCCAAAATGGACTGGGAGAAAAAAATTAGGTTCTGTCTTCTTATGTGTCAGCCCTCCCGTGTGTTCACCTGAGGTTAAATGGTCTAAATTTAGTCCAGCAATCAAGAGCAATTAGCTGCCGAGAGACCTAAGAAGCTTTTGACGTGTGAAGTGCGTAGCTGAACGAGCGAAGATAATGGAACTCAACTGAGACTGTTGGGGGGTGAAATGTGCTCCATGTTTTAATGCTGATCACTGGAAACCAAATATAGACATCTGAAAGTCTATATGATACAAACCTACTGTATTGAATGCAATGCTGGAGAGTCGGGTTGGACTGTTGGGAGTTGGGACTAAAATTTGGCCGTGGAAAAATTCCAGTCCGTTTGGCCCACATGATCCCCTGTGAACATTTTGAAGGCCTGATTAGGATCAGGCCTTGAATGAATGAAGTTAATAGCAGGAGATATTATTACTGAATATCAAAAGGAGCTAACATTTATGTTGCATATTTTTGCCTCAAAAAATGCACAATTGACAGTAAAACATTGATTTTGAGTCACGATAAAGTGAATTTACTGCTATAAGTAACAATAAAATCGGTTAAATTAACACAGAATTTATGCAGGACTATTTTTAATTCTGTCAGACAGATTAATAGCTTAATTATTGAATTCATTGTCAGTTTAGTAGAAGTAATCATTGTAATAAATAAATAAACAAGCAAATAAACTGTCAGTTTGTGCATTAGGGGTGTGGACTTAAGATACTCATTCAACAACATTGAAACATCACTGTTGTGAGTTTCTCCCAAGATAAGCTCCATTTAATTGAGCTCGGGCTACTTTCTTTGGCGGAGCAGAAATAAGAAGTAACTGGGAATATTGTGTCTCTAAGTTGTAAATAAATTTATTGATTTATTATTTATCTAGAAAATTAAAGTAGAATATTAAACATACTAATTGCTATTTGTAAACATCAGAAATTACAATATCCTTCAGCCTCTTGGCATAGAGGCGAATGGCGAAATATGCGAATCAACTATCTCTCTTATCACAAATGCACACGGATGCATCGTTGCACTTCCCCAGCTTCTCTCACACTCTGAAGAAAGAGAAAGAGAGTGAAGAACAAAGCAATGTCAGGCATTACAGACAGGCCCATGATCACAGTCTTCCTCTGTCTGAACTCTGATCTGAGAGAGTGCTTTGGGCTCTGGCTTAACTGCGGCATAAACACTAGAGCGTTCTAGACACATGAAGCTGCTCTGAAGTCTTTTTTATTCATATAGGAAACTGCACATTGTCACAAGCCACTGATTTGATTCTGAGGGGCCCGCCTGTCTAGGTGGCTTGATTTAGGTGTTCACATCTCATTTGTGAAATATTAGTTTTTAACGAAGCCTACTGTTAATATAGGCCTACCTGTTTATTCTGTCTTAAATTGTCTTAACATCTATTTGATGCCAATTTAGAAGGATTAGATGTAAGGCACCCATTCATTTTTAATATTGGGCTTGCTAAAATGGCAGATGTCTTGGACTAATGCTGAGACGTAGGACTGTGAATGCATTACTCAAAATCAAAAGTCTTCAGCTAATCTCGCTATTGTAGAAATCGTTATTTATATTTTCCCTCCATTGAGTTAAAAAAAAAAAAAAAAATATATATATATATATATATATATATATATATATATTCAATGTTGACTGTCTCTTTCTATCATTTTCTCTTTCTCTAATTGTCCATTGCTTTAACCCCCCCCCCCCCCCCCCTCCTTTGTTTTAATGCCTCATTGTGTTGTATAAAAAAGGAGGTCAAGCTCAGTTTTTCCTTTTGAGCAAGTGTGAAGCAGAATGGCATTTTCACTCAAGGTCCAAGGTCTATTCCTTTTTCTCCATTTTTCATTTAATCTCTTCTGTATACAGTGGTGTTTTGTACATTCAAAATGCACGTTTGAATATTAAAGCTTGAATATAAAATAATCTATTCTCTTGGTTTTTACATATCAAGGAAGGCAGTAAATGTAATGATAAAGTGAGTGTGGTGAATTTAGGTGAGAGGGATATGAGAGGGGTGTGTGCACTGAGTCCGTTCTTTGATGTGTTTTTAGCAACTACCGCTGGGCGAATCTTTCGCTCCACTCTTCCTTTTTTCTGTCCATCTAGCTTTCGAAGACTTTGCGCTGTGCCGGGCTTTATCCCTCCTCAGGCAAGATGAACTATGAGACAGAGCAGCACATCTAAAACTGATTGTGTCCAGTCTTGCTCAGAATTTATGTTCTCTGGGCTGGAACACTTTTGAGTGCAGCATTGCAGTGCTAACATAAACCTGCTTCAATTAGCAGCCACATGCTCCCATTATCTCCCATTATTAAAAAAAATGATATACATGCAATATATAATAGTATTTTTTTGAGAACCTCCCCACCCCCACATGAAGATATTTAAGATAATTTAAGAATTGTAGCAGACACAAACTCTGAGGTAGACCTGTTTGTTTATTAAATCTTATTTTTTAATTAATATATATTATTTAATTGTAATTAATTTGATAAACAATGAAATCTTCCCTTATTTAAGTACATTTTATCATTTTTAATTGAATTACTTTTTTTCCCCTTTAAAAAAATAAAATAAAAAAAATAATATATATATATATATATATATATATATAATGTATGACTCAAAATAATCTTGCTTTTATTGTTTTGTTTTGTCTCATGTTTAGGTCAAGAGCGGTTTGGGAACATGACCAGAGTTTATTATAAGGAGGCGGTGGGTGCGTTTGTTGTTTTTGACATTACCCGAGGCTCTACATTCGAGGCTGTTTCAAAATGGAAGCATGATTTGGACAGCAAGGTGAAACTGGCCAATGGCAATCCCATCCCGTCTGTCCTTCTGGCCAATAAATGTGACCAGAAGAAAGATGGATCCAGCAATTCCTCACTTATGGACAACTTCTGCAAGGAGGCTGGGTTTTTGGGTTGGTTTGAAACATCAGCTAAGGTAATCTAAACTCATTCTGTGTTCACTTAGCCACTTAAATGTTTGTTTGTACTTGGTCAAAATGAAGGAGAACTTGTCACGTACAGTTTTGCTAAGAATAGAAGCTTCTTACTACACCTTTCCTCTCTAATCTGCTCAGATGACCATGAAAGCTGCCATATTAGATCAAGTATTTAAGATGGCTGACATTCTCCTTGGTATTAGGGCCAAAACGGCACCACTGCAGCAGTCTTAAGAACATTAGCAAATCCTCATGTCTGAATCACCAGACACATATGTCAAATGTGCTATGTGCAGCTCATCACGTGAAGCAGCAGTATGTATGGGATTTTTAAGGGAGATTTTTTTTTTCTCAGCTACTCAACTACTGTACTGAATCTTTGCCCACTGTTTTAAAATGGTAATAGTGGAACAGTGTTTGGTACATTGGAGACAAACTGAGTATCAAAATGTATTGATATTGCTACATTAACAGATTGGCCGATATTGCAGTGCAATATTGATTTTTATTATATAATTTTTGAATCCATTTATTTTTATTAAAAGGAGTTATTTTTATTTTTTAAATTGACATTACCGTTCAAAAGTTTGGACTCATTAAGTCACCATGAAATCAAAATTGACAATTCTCTTAATTCTGTTTATTATAAATGATTATGTTATCATCATTTTTAATTTTTTATTCATGCCCTCATAATCTTTAATCAAAATACCATCTCTGACTCTTTATGACGTATACAACGGTGCAAGGGAGGGACAATAATCCCTCCACTCCAGCAACTTGTCACTCACATGAGATCGTAGCAATTAGCAAACGACAGTGATCCAATCAATTCCTGGTGGACAAATGTATGTAATTTCATTGGACGGGTGCAATGAGAGTTGTACACATACAATGACAAAAAAGGAAATTCAGACAATCAAGTACCGCCTTACATTTTTCTCGCTCAAGAAGCCGTTTCACGCAGTTATACATAATAACAGGGAAGAAAAGACTATCGCAACCTCCACTTCATGCTGACTTCAAGATTTATTTTAAAGAAATACATTTTGATTGCTTTTATTTAGCAAGGATGTATTGAATTGATCAGAAGTGACATTTACAAATACAAAACATTTACATATACAAACATATTTCTATAAATGCGGTTCTTCTGATCTTTCTATTCATTAAAGAATCTCCGAAAAACACGATCACTGTTTCCACAAAAATATTAAGAAGCACAATCATTTTCAAGTGTAATAATAAATGTTTTTTTGAGCACCAAATCAGCATATTTGGATGGTTTCTGAAGGATCACTAAAGACTTGAGAAATAACAGCTGAAAATTTTGCCATCAAAAAAAATAAATTACATTTTAATTTTACTACTGCTATTATTTATGGCATTGTGTTTGTATTATAAAGGATATTTTTCTTAGTGCCTGCAGTGTGCTGACTTTCACATGGTTTTTATTACAAATGGATGTCATTCCTGAGCAACATTCATAGTCTTATATTTTACAGTATCAGCTGAATCTGAACACTGCAAGAGTAAAGGGAACAAAACGTGTGTTTATAGTCTTACATCAGCAGTTCATTTGATGTATTTTGCAAATTAATCTTCTCTCTTTCCTGCACACACATTTTGAGGGATGCTGGGTGGATCTGGGCATATTAAGTTGGCTAAAGAAGATAAATAGTCTGAGTGGAGAGAAGGAAGAAAAGAGGTAAAGAGAGGAGGAGGAGGAGGAGGAGGAGAAGGAGAAGAAAATGTCTGTTTGTTAATTCTGGGGAATACAGTGTCTTTAGGAGTGTGTGATTGTGTAGGTATTTAACACCCTGTTAAATTGTACCCCTTGAAATGCATTTTCAAGTCACATGATTTGGCCTTAAATATCTTGACTGTGTCTTGCTATTTAAAAAGTGTTTGTTCAGTTTCTGTCTGTAGCGGTGTCTGGTCTTAACTGTTTAACAGAAGGTGTCTCATCAGTCAGTCTGCATAAGCACATGTTTCTGAAATAGATCTCTCCATTAGGGACTCAAGCACACAGATGTCTGGCTGGGAGCTCTGGCACCTGTCGTTTGTATGTGTGTGTGTGTGTGTGTGTGTGTGTGTGTGTGTGTGTGTGTGTGTGTGTGTGTGTGTGTGTGTGTGTGTGTGTGTATGTGTATATGTATATGTATGTGTGTTCAGTGCATGTGCATGGTGAATGTGTCGGCTCTCATCTATCAGGACCTCCTTGTGTTCAATCAAGCCTCTGTGCTGACTGGTCCGGAGAGATTGTACGAGTCTCTTTTTTCTATCGCTCCTCTCCCAGTGGGACGCATGTGCATTTAGTTTTTACGCCTTTTTTGTACAAATTACATTTATGGATGGAAAGGCCTGTATTGCCTGAGTAAAAAACAAAGGAAGAAAATAACTGAGATCAAGTTTAAAATATGAAATAGTCACATTGTGAGAAACAGTCACGTTGGGAGACATAATAGCATTTATGAAAAATTAGGATTCATTCATTCATTCAGAAAAAAAGTAGGATTTTTTTCTTGTTTTCCAGGGAACATCTATCTAATATACTTCAAACAAAAATGTTTTTCTTTTTCTTTTTTTAAGGCATAAACCTCACTAAAATTTTGTAGTTTCATGATTGCATGCAAATTGAACAGCAAACTTAATTGCTCTTTGAAAAATGTTTTATACACATATTTGCATCTAAGAAAAATTTATATTTTTTAAAGAATGTTTAGAAATTTTAACTGGAAAATAAGACAAAAAAAATACTTATTATTATTAGGGCCCGAGTACCTATGGTGTGAGGACCCTATTGGAATTGCTCCGTTTATTATTTTGCTGTTTTGTTTTGCTCTGTGTGGGCAGACAAATAGGCTGCCGGTCTTATTTGATATCTTTAGTTTTATTTGAATATCATCATAATTTCATAGCATGTCTTTGGGTAGAGTTGAAACAAGCTTCTCAATGGCCCATGCAGATCTCTAAATGGCAATGATTTCAACCACCATTCCTACCAAAAGAGATCATGATAGGTCACCACCATTCAAACAAACAAGCAAGGACACAGTATACTTTCTGAAAGTCATGGCTCAAAGCAGTCTCATGATGTGCTTAACAAGCTTGAAAATTCAAGTTATTTACACTGCTCACTCCAAGAAAACAGCGTTTTCTTGCCCTCCATACTGCTGGACATCAATTGTTTCATGCAAACGTTAATTGTCTCTCAGCATGGCCGTGCCACCTGTATTGTGCTCAGTACTCTGAGTGAATGACAAATACGCATGGTTGGCTTTTGTTTAACCTTTCTGTTTTCTGCCCTTTCCCTCAAATCAGTCTTACTCACACTCTCTCGCTTTGAAACCACAGACTACTTAAGGATAGAGGGATGTAAATGGAAAGAGTGAAGTGTCTCAAAAAAGTGATGAGAAGTTGTGTAGGCGGGTGCCATCAATACAGCTTCATGCCGAAGTACCTCTTGAAATTTCACCACGCACTCAGTTTAGCTTAACAAGTTACGTCTATTGACCATTCTGTAAATGATCTCAATATTCTGGAAAGGTTTCAGTGTCATTCCAAACCTGTATGACTTTACTCTTTCTTCTGCAGAATACAAAATAAGATACCTTAAAGAATGTCTCAGTGTTATTTTTTTTGTCAATACACTTAAAGTCAATGAGGTCTGTTGATGTTTGGACCCACTTGACTTTCATTGTATGTTCAAAAACAGTTCACGAACAAGATAATTCATACAGAAGAAAGTCATACAGGTTTGGAACGACACGGGGAACAATTTTTGGGTGAGCTATCCCTTTAACATTTGACTTTGCTCACTGCAGGACAACATCAACGTTGATGAGGCTGCCCGGTTCTTGGTGGAGAACATCCTTCTCAATGATAAAGGTATTTCCTATGAAGAAAACAATGGTGACAAGATTAAACTGGACCAACAAACAGTGCCTGCTGAGAGCAAGCCAGGTTGCTGCTAGTGTGGATGCTCTTGTGTGTCGCATTATCTGCTGTGGATAGGAGCCAGGAGGCTCAACAAATTCCCCATACCCCATCCCATCTCATCCCTGCCACGGATCACAATCACAACCAGGGGCCAACAGATGTTAGTTTGAGCTCTAAAAGGGGAGAAGACATCACCAAAAGGACAGATGATCTGATCAGATAAAACATCTTTCTGGTGTTTTTAATGACCAGTTTTTCTCTCTTGCTCTGTGCCTTGTTTGTCCTTTGTATAGTGTCAAGCAAGTTACTTCAATGTGTGCATGTTGTAATATTGCTTAAAATGAATGAAACTAAATGGGTGTCATAGGACCAGGCAAGTACCAGTAAAAGTTCTTTGCCAAAATTAAATTAAACTAGTGCCTTTGTCACAGAGGGTGAGCTGTTTTAATGTACTCTGCTGGACTATTTGCATCCGCTGGGAATTGCCACTCTACATTTTGCAGGAAAAAAGTTCTCAAGATGTCACTTTCTGAAAAAAATCTTATTCCCAGGGCATTTAGTCTGTTGTGAAGATCCAACCATCAACAATCTTGAAGCTCTTACCATGAAACCATTGTATCAAGGAAAAAGAAAATGAATAGGTCTTCTAACGGGCCATATAGGCCAAAGAATCATGGGGCTATATGGATATTTGTGGTTCATGTTGGGTTTCCTCAGGCTTGTACATGATAATGTTAAAATATGTTTACGTTAATTGTTTTTTAATTGGTACTGAATGAGGGATCTGAGCACTTGCTCTGTCCATGGCTTTATTCAATGAACTGAAGGCAAATACACATTTTAATATGCTGGACCTGGACCGTTTCTGTCAAGTTTGCAAACCAACATTTGTTGAAGTATCAATTTCTGATAAAATAAAACGTTTTACATGTTCATGGGTTTTTCTTTGTATGCTCAATAAATATGAGAAAATGCGCCATAAATTCAAAATTCTAACAAAAGTCACATTATTATTATGATGAAATATAAATTGCCGAAGTCATCTCAAGGTTGAGGATGAGCTTTGTATGATAAGAAATAGGAATCTATATTTTAATAGCCTATTTGCACGTTGCTTCAGTGGAGTGCCATCGATTTCACAAATTTCCGACGTATGGGCTTTTAATAAGCCCGATTCCTGAACAAATTCTTTTAAGTCGGATCTTTTCAATTAATCGGTAAACAACTCTGAACTGAGAACCGTTTAATTCGAACGTGAGTAGAGAAATGACTCAACTCAAATGAATTTGAATTAAACCGATGGTTTCAATTTATTTAAATCAAAGAAACAAAATGAATAGTGAATTTTTAAAAAGAAAAATATGTAAGGTGTCGCGTGATGATGTAATTACGTTGTGACGTAAAAGCTGATTTGGCTTTTTGGAAGCGGTTCTTTCTTTGAAAAGAACTGTTCAAAAGAAAAGAGAAACTATAATGGCAGCTGTAATGCAACATTATGGATGCCGACTGCCGTAAAACAACAACAAAGAAGAAGAGAGAAACTAGTCTGTCTTCGTGTCGCTAAACGACAGTAGATAGACATAAGAGTTTGTTTAAAGAGGTCAGGACTCAGGAGGAGTTCATTGGCGCGAGGTGATTATAAAGCTCTGCGCTCGAGCTGTCGGCAATCCCCAGCGATCCTGTCGCCTAGCAACATGGCAAACTTTCCCCGCTGCAAACAGTCTCACCCTGGCCATCGCTTCCTATTCATCATTATTTTCCGTGATTTATTCAGCCAAGTGTTCCTTCAAACCATGAACTCTTAGATTAGAAACAAGGCCTACATACAGTTGCAATGTCGAAGACACCCAAGAAAAAGGCGTCCTCATCCAGCCTCGTCGCTTCCTCGCCTGGACAACAATCTCCCAAAAAAGAGTAAGAATTGACTTGAGATTTGTTAGCAGCTAATACAAACATCCTATGTTGATGGCATCGAAATATTTCAATAATATAGATCAATCACAGATGATATAAATAATAAAACCTTTATTTCGCCTTATATCTTGACTCTATTATGTTTGTCCTAGCTTACAGGAGTTGTTTGTTTTAATATGGAGGTGGTTACGGATTGTTTTGCCAGTTGTGAATTTGACAACAACATAACGTTAACGTTACATCATTTGTGTTTGGCAAGTTAATTTATTGCATTTTTCTTGTGGCTTTTATGGTTGCCTAACACTAAATTGAGTATTTTTGTATTTTTTACATTAACAACATCAACAACAGGCATACTTTACATTTTCTTTGCATTTAGGTCAATGGGTCAAACATAGGTTAATGACATAGTTCCATTAATGTTTCACTCCTGCTATAAAATAAAATTGCATTAAGGGGAGACACGCATGCAAAAACATAGTTTTTTTTCACTGGTCAATTTTGAGATTTTGGGCTATTTTCCATACTCTGAGCCAGAAATATCCACTTCAGCAGCACTTACACCAAACTTTCCAGTTGTATTCCTATCTACACTCACCTAAATGATTATTAGGAACACCTGTTCAATTTCTCATTAATGCAATTATCTAATCAACCAATCACATGGCAGTTGCTTCAATGCATTTAGGGGTGTGGTCCTGGTCAAGACAATCTCCTGAACTCCAAACTGAGGCTACGTTTACACATAGCCGGGTATTTAGAGAAACGAATATTTTCCCCCTCTCCGTTTTCAAAAATAACATCGTGCACACACCCGCATAAATATGCCGTCGAGCGGCATCATAACTATGCCAAACCTATGGGCGGCAGTGTAGGGAGAAGGATAAAGCCATGCAAGCCAATCAAAATCCTCAGAATCGACAAGAGAGAACCTAAAACCCCGTTTCTCCCAGTTTACACGGCAACACATAACCGGCGTTTTCAGAAATCTCCACTTTGGCCGGAGTTTTTAGAAATAATCGTTTTCTGTGATAAAAACGGCAAAAATCGTGTAAATGAGAGGGCAAAACGCAGAGAAATGTCTGCGTTTTCCCATCGTGTAAACGGGGCCTGAATGTCAGAATGGGAAAGAAAGGTGATTTAAGCAATTTTGAGCGTGGCATGGTTGTTGGTGCCAGACGGGCTGGTCTGAGTATTTCACAATCTGCTCAGTTACTGGGATTTTCATTTTCAAATGGTGTGGGGGATGTTTTCTTGGCACACTTTAGGCCCCTTAGTGCCAATTGGGCATCGTTTAAATGCCACGGCCTACCTGAGCATTGTTTCTGACCATGTCCATCCCTTTATGGCCACCATGTACCCATCCTCTGATGGCTACTTCCAGCAGGAGAATGCACCATGTCACAAAGCTCGAATCATTTCAAATTGGTTTCTTGAACATGACAATGAGTTCACTGTACTAAAATGGCCCCCACAGTCACCAGATCTCAACCCAATAGAGCATCTTTGGGATGTGGTGGAACGGGAGCTTCGTGCCCTGGATGTGCATCCCACAAATCTCCATCAACTGCTAGATGCTATCCTATCAATATGGGCCAACATTTCTAAAGAATGCTTTCAGCACCTTGTTGAATCAATGCCCCCGTAGAATTAAGGCAGTTCTGAAGGCGAAAGGGGGTCAAACACAGTATTAGTATGGTGTTCCTAATAATCCTTTAGGTGAGTGTATATTCTTAAAGGGGTCATATAATGCCATTTTTGTACAAGCTAATATGATTCTTTAGGGTCTAAATTAAAAGTTTGTAATATACTTTAAATAAAAATTCTCATTAGTATTGTAAGAAAACACTTATTTTACCTGGTAAAAAAACAGCTCTGTTTTCAGCACGCCGTTTCAGTGTATATGACTTTAAATGATCATGAGCTTTGCTGACTCCGCCTCTCTGTTCTATGCGTACACCAGAGCCGGCTCTGGCGTACACCGTTTGTAACACAATAACACAATAACCAACACGTTGTTCAGTATAAACGTGGGATTATGCATTATATTGAGAACGTCATACATAGAAAACATGCCGTAATGTACCCTGAGTGTAAACCTTAGACGCATTCATTGTGAAGCGTGCAGCTAGCGATTTACAAGGATTAATATAAATATTAATATAAAGTTTAATAAAACGTTACACTCACTTCAGTTCTTCTGGAGCAGCAGCAGGAACACGAATAGATGGTACCGATCCTTTCAGGAGCAGCTTCTTAGCAAATCCAGCTTTATACTGACCCTCGTTTATAAAGCAGTCTGGTGTGTGAAATGATTCGCGCAAACATGAGAGCATTGACGTTGCTCGTGGGGAATATTCCCATCGAAAACAAACTCAGCCACTGCGTCTTCGGCGGTTCGGATTTAGGAACATTAAAATTACTGCTTTGTTCGTTATTACACCCAAGAACAGAACACCACAATCGCTTAGACGCCATTCTGCTCATAGACAGTGCTCCAGCATATCAACAATGACCGCGCCGGTCCGTGCGGACTATGATTGACAGCTAGCTCACGAGCGAGGGCGGGTCTGTGTTGAAACCCTTCTGTCAATCAACAATCGTGGGAGGGGCGTGCGAGCTTGTGACGTCACAGGCTCGAACGGCTCGATTTGAGGCAGGGGAAAACATATAAGGAGATTAAAACAAAACCACTGGATGGATTTTTATCATTATATGATGGCTGTGTACAGGCACTGCCAACACATATTTCAGTACAATCAACTTGTAAAAGTGCATGTTCCATTATATGACCCCTTTAAGGTTTTTACAGAGGGGTTTGTTCATATAGGCTATCATTCAGATTCTGATTTATACAACATTTTATACCTAATAACAGGGCGAATTTTTTTTTTTTTTTTATGGCTGTTGACAGTTTTTTCTGATTAATGGAGTCTAATATGTCAACAAAATGAAACAAGAATTTTGAATCTGGCTTTATCCAATGTTCAGATTTCTCTTCTGGAAATATATGCAAATGAGTCCATATTTAATGAGATAACCCTAATTTGCATATTTAAACATAAATATTCTAAAAACTTGTAATACAAAAGATATTTGTCTTAATGTCAGTAATCACCTGGGGAAGTTTCATGCTGATCTATTAGTTATTTTTTTCCGCCTATTCACCTGGGGTGTTTCCCCTTAAATTGAATTCAATTTGCATTTCCTGAGAAAATACCAGTGTTTGGAATTAAAGTAAGAGATAGCATGATAGTAGATTAAAGATAGATAATAATAATAATCGAAAAGACCAGTCATGACTGAGTCAATATGCAAATTCAAATGCTTACCTTGTAAGTACCAATAATGAAATTATTATGTTAAATGGTGATACATTTTAATAGATTACATTAAAAAACCAAAGCACTGTCTCTAGAGCATCTTCAGTGATCAGTGCATCAGAAAGCCCTGAAGAACTAAAGAAGATTCTCATCTCTCTCTGGCCGGAGTGGAGCGACACTGAGGTCAATGCAGAGAAATGGGATGCAACTAAAGCCTCTAAGGAGAACAAGGTGAGTATTCATGAATTGAACAACAATTCGGCTCAATGTTTTTCATAAAATGTCAATGTTGGTCCATTGGTAAGAGTAGAAATCTGTTTCAGCAAACTGCTTGGCTTGAGAGATGTAGCTTTGCAATTGATGAGTCAGAGTGGCTGGCACCATGCACTCTGCAATTTGATCAGTGTTTTTTATTAACTTTTTGTATTTGGTTTCCCATTTGATTGTGAATCTAAGCCCATACTGAGCCTTTTATGTAACAACATTGTCAACAGCTCTTTGACGATCCAGAAGGGAAGGTTGAACTTCCTGCCTCCTTGAGAGTACACACTTGGAAACGTCCTTCAGAGTACATACTTAATAAGGTAAGAGTTTTTCATTAGCCACAGAAGTGATTATCATCACTAGCAGGTCCAACAAACTTGATGGAACTGCATTATCCTGGGTAGGTAAAGTTAAACAGAGTTTGTAAACAACATAACGTTAACATAACAGACTTTTCAATTGTACTTTATTATTGTTTGTGTACAATGTGAAGTACTAGTTGATCTGACATATTTATGACCAAATAACACGTATTTGTGTTCACCCTGCTCTTTTAATTGCATGTTTTTGGGAAAATCCAGTCTTATCCTTAATGCCGAGCTTAATTGATGAAATCTGTTTATGCTGCTTTCATATCATGTTTGGGTTGTGATTTAAATTACCTCATGCCTAGCAGAACATTTTACAATTATTTCTCCATTTTGATGAGTCTAGGCAAGTCATGGGATGCTAAAAAGTCACAACAAGCAGAGAATTCACAAGGCAATCAAGACTAGGCACTAGAGCTCTAAAACCAATTATTTTTTGCCATCTGACTAGCTGTATTTAAGATGTTTAATTGAGAGAACGAATGAAGGTCAGCTCTGTTGTCATTTCCATGGCAACAATTGGGATAAAAAGATGATAGCTGCGATTCTTCTCTCCTAGTATGTGAGTGATACTAAGAGCCTTCGATTTACATGTAATTAAAAGTCCACTTACAGAAGATTATCAAAAATTCATGGAAGCAAATATTCATGTCCCTCAGAGATGATCTGTGACAGTAGTGGGAAGAAAACATTTGGAAAATGGGAGAAATTTCTCAAGTGACACAAATTTTAATATTTATAATAGACCAAGTGAGCAAAACTATAATCACTTTCAATAATCATTGTTCAGTTAGATTTAGCTGTTTTATGGTGCAATCTCAAATAATCACACTGAGTTTGGGGTTAAGTTTTTTTAATGTTTTTGAAAGGAGTCACGTAAGAATTGAGAAATTAGAAAATGCCGGGCAGTCTGGTTGATTTTCTAATGTCAGGTTTGCATGTTTTCTCTTTATTCCAGAGCATTTGATGTTTTGTATTTATTATCTTTGAACTGATTATGAAATTGGCATAATACATTTACCTGACATAATAAATTGTTACATTTGATTTTATTCTGACTGACTCTGAAATGGTTTTCCCAAGTAGATTAAACGGATTCGTATGTTACCGCAAGACTGCGTCAGATTAGTGACGACTAATGTTTGGCGCTAATTCAAGTGTACTTGGTTTGCAAAGACAAGAAGTGAATTTCTGTTTAGGGCAGCAAAAATGCTGCTTGACCAACCTAAATTTGAGTGTGTCTTAGTTACCTCTGTTTTAATTTAATGTTACTTTAGATAAGTGTACGTGGGAAACCACGGCATAGCCAATCCAAAGCTATTATAAGAGAAGTAAAGTTGGTTGACTTATATCTGTAGTAGTGGCCATACCTCTGCCTGAAGTAAACGTTACCTTAAATTCAAGTGTATGCAATTCCATGGGAAGCTGCTAGGGACTGGAAAATGCTGGCTGATCTTGATCAACAGCTTATTTTTCCACCTGAGACTAACCTCCGACCAGATATTGTTTTGTGGTCTGGATCAGCACGCATTGTTCAACTGATAGAGTTAACAGTGCCATGGGAGGATGCGGTAGATGAGGCATATGAGAGGAAGAAACTGCGGTATGCTCATCGTCCAGGTTTATCCAGTGGAAGTGGGCTGTCGAGGATTTGTGGCACACTCTACAACCCGGTTCCTCGGAGACGTCGGATTCAGTGGCCAAGAGTTGTCGCACAGTAAAGAACTTATCTGAAGCAGCAGAGAGGAGCAGCAACTGGCTGTGATTGAGACGGAAATATTCTGGCTGGCTGTGTACAGGCCGCCACGCTACGGTTTCGTAGAATTCTTGAAAAACTCGAAGAGTCTGTTGGTTTATTTGTATAGTTTGCATAGTAATTACAGTTATTACGTTCCTGTGTATATTGCGTGAATGAGGGTTGGTGTTTGGGCAGATATCGTGTTTTGCTGTAGGTAGTATGCCATACGGAACCGTTGCCACTGAAACTGCATTAATGACGACAGTGGGGCTCGACAGCCTTAGTCAAACGGGTTGGCGCGTATGGTTGGGTTGCGGAGAGATTGTGAGATTGGGGTTAGGTCACATGTGAACTACGAGGAAGGAACAACCTCAGCAGCAGGAGGGATGTAAAGGTCAGTAAGCTGGGCTGAGTTGAGTGGGGGACGGAGGGGGGTGACTCTGGGACGCCAGAGTCACTGTCGAGCCCTCTTGAGGTGTCGTGGGCTAGTCGACGAAACACTGAGGACGGAAGGTGCCCACTTGAAGACCCTAGAGATGTCCCCTACTCGGCTCAATCCAGACGGTTGTCATGCTGGTCCACTGGGGAGACCGCACTGTGGTTGCAGCCGTTGTGTGTGCTGACGCGCCAAGTACACTGCAGCCATTAACGCCTGACAGAAGGAGATTCACATCACCATATGGAAAGAAGCGTAAATGGATGGAGAAGCATAGGTTACTGTAAAGCTACGTCTTAGTTTGTGCTTATCTTGGCGAAAGCCGAGTACAAATCAGCATGAAGTTTTAACATCTACTCTCGTGTAATGGAAATCATGGGGGCTATACCAAAGTATCTTTGATTGTGTAAGCGTGAATGCGACCATCTCAGGTATTTAGCCAATTACCTCTGTTTATTGACCGAAAACTGCCTTGCTTGTGATCGTGAAACCCGCGTTAAACAGAAGGCTTTAGGACCTCTGAGCGACATAGATTTCTAATGAACGAGTAAAATATAAAGTAAAGAGTTAAATAGAACAATCAAATGTATTACTAAACTATTATATAATTGACCAATAACCAATTGGCAATCTAATCTAAATTCGAGGTCGTGATACAATGGAGTCAGATAAGTTTAATTAGAATTAAATTACTTTGGCACGCGGAAAGACAGTAACGCGCAGAGACCTTCACCCGTTCTATCGGATACCGCCATTGGACCGATTTAGACGGGCTTAAACCAAGGCTTCATTTGATCATTTTGATGTTATTTGATTTTAATATACATTTACTCTAGTCTTCAGTGTCACATGTTCCTTTAAAAATTATTCTAATATGATGATTTGCTGCTCAAGAAACATTTCTGAAATATTTTTGAAAAACTATACTGTGGAATAATTATTTTTAATTATATACATTTTATATTTTTATAACCATTTTTATTTGTTAACAATGTAAAAATCTTTACTGTCACTTTGCCATTTAATTAATCATTGCATAAAAGTGTTAATTTCTTTAAAAATGTATATTACTGACCCCAAAACTTTTGAACGATAGTGTATATTTCATATATATTGTAAACAAAAAGACAACTAGGTTGAACTTGCTTTAGCTTTGTTTTGAGTTTGCATTTAATTAGAGTAGAAAACTAAACTCATCAAGGTAGATCTTCAGGAACTGACATTATATGTATCTTGTCCTTTAAAACAGACTCCTGTTGTGGTGGAAAATAAATCTACCTTTGACCTCACCTCAGCAAATGAGCATTTACTCTCAAGTGAGGTGAGTCATTAAATTACTTCTGATGGCTTGCGTTACTGATTAGAACAAAAAATGATTCGTTTAGTTGGCATTAACTTACACTGGGTCACTCCTCGCCCTGCACGCTGATTTCACAGCTTATTCGATGGATCATTAGTGAGTTCTACATTCTATGGAAAGTCTGCAACACAGGAGAGGACAAGGCCGTCTCGATGGAAACAGTTCCCAACCTTTGGAGACCCTGGGAACACATCTACTCCCTTTGTAAAGCAGAGACGGATCACATGCCCCTCTATAATACCTATGGGAAGTATGTCATTAAACTCTACTGGATGGTAAGTTCAGGTTAAGTATAGACACCATATTAAATGTTTTTATTGAAAACCTGTTGTGAACAACATTCACTGCATTTCTTTTCAGCTTTGTGTTTCTTTTACAGCTGAATAACTAGAATAGTTTTGTTACAAGAATTCAATGAAAACTTAGTAATGTTCTCCATTGAACCCCCCCCCCCCCCTGGAATAATTAAAGAAATAGTTCAGCAAAAAAAAATGAAATTTCATAAACTCCCCAAATTTCAAAACCACAAATTTAGTTAATCTTTGGAATACAAAAGGATCTTTAATGAATGAGAGGTTCTGCATGGTGATACACAAAATTGCCAAATATGCTATACCTATTGTAGCATTTGTTCACATTCTCCTGCTAGAAGGACACTGTGTCCTTAAGGCAGTGATTAAGTGAGAACACATGCTTATCAGGGAGCCAAGAGACTTGGTAGAGCCGTGACTGCTCTATCCTCTGGTCACAGACAACCGAGAATTTCTTTTTATTTTATTTATCTTAACGGCTTCTATTACTAAATGAGCAAAGACTGACCTGCACGCTGGTAACAATGATTTGTTTAACAGGTGATATCAAAGAATAGTAAAGTAGCGCTCTCTCAAGTACAAGAGGATTTCAGATAAGGCCTATGTGCTGGGCAATAGTTATTTTGTTGCTGACTGATATTCTTAGATCACTCTCTTTAATATAACTCCATTACGAGTTTGATGTTTATCACAGCATTTTCACTGCTCATTTTACTGTGTACAAAATGCACACTAATGAACCATGGACTTTAAAGGCTCATTTGAGTTCTGATTGATGCACCTTTGGTTTTGTGTGTATTGAGATGAGTTTGATGGTGAGATCATTAAAAATGTAATTCATTTATTACTTTGTTATATTTACTTATATACAGCACGTCCATGAGTGAATAAATGTTATTTAACGAATGTTGAGTCACACAAATCTGACTATTAACAATCTATCCAGATGGAATGTGCCATTGTATGATAAACTTTTACTGAGTTTATCTGAGATATTTTACTGTCTCATTAATGATAGTGGATGTATTTTTTATAATTGTCTTCTGCTTTTTTAGGGAAGTTGGAGGAAGATTACTGTTGATGACATGTTACCATTTGACAAAGATGATAACCTGTTGCTTCCTGCTACTACAAACCAATCAGAGCTTTGGCCCATGCTGTTGGCTAAGGGTATACTAAAGGTGGCCAGTACTGAGTGAGTATTTTTAAACTTAATTCAAACAATACGTGTTTAAATTGTCAAATAATCGGTTGAATTAGTTCACAAAACCATGATTGATTCACAAATCGGACTTACCAGGTTCTCGACTTGACACTAGAATAGCTTACCGCAGTGGAGGTTTATTAGTGAGTAACAACATAAATTTCAGTCTGCTCATCACAGAAAGCTTGGTTAAAATGGGCCACTCTTATGATATTTTGATTGGCTTTAGCATCCTTTTTTGAAACGGCAGTCTCCATTTATTGCATGCAAAGGAACAAGTACATTATTCCCAGAATTTATTTAGCATAAGTTTTGTGCATCCCAGAAGAATGAAAGAGTGGACTCATTTTTTTCATGGTGTAAAAGTTTTATATAGCTTAGGAAATGAACCATCTCTGAGCCAGTTAATTATTTATGGTTCGAAATAAAATGTTCAGGAAACAAAAAGCACAATGGTGTGCTTCCAGAGGGCAATTCACAATTAAAACATATACATGCTGTAAAATTCATTACTGCCAAGGTTTGGCTCTAAAGTGATCACAGTCGTGACTCACCTGAAGCCACTGTACATCCTGTTTGAAGTGTGCTTGCGCTCTTGTGTGGCAGTGATAATGATGGAATGGTTCTTTGCGTGAAGATGAACAGTGAAATCGTGCAGATAATTAATAGCTGCTGGACTGGTTGAATACAGCATCCCGTGAGGCACAATTAGAGCATCAGCCATCTGGTTTCTTCAGAGAAAGAGAGCAAGAGGTCACACACACTTACACTCATAGACATGCACAGATCAATGTCTGAAATGACACAATGGAACTGGAACTGGAACTGAGAGTGCATATTCATGCAGTCTTTATTGAAAGGTATTCTGGTATTTTAGGATGTACCCACACCTATTTGTATGCATTGTATGGCTGTCTGGCTAACAAGTAATCAGTTAATGTGTAATAGTGATATGGTTTTCTCTTTCCAGTATTCCAGTCTCAGGCTCTGGGAGAGAGTTTGGAGATTTTACAGTCATGCATTGTCTCACTGGATGGATACCGGAGATCATTCCTTTAAAGTGAGGCTCTCTTTAAACACTTCCTCTTAAAAAAATTACATACTTTTATTTTACATACAATGTTTTTTAATGTTGTGGGGAATTAGTCAAAAGTCAGAATAAATGATAATTTATTGGCTAATATGCAAGTTATTCAGATTATCATTAAATAATTATTTATGGCCCTATGATTACTAGATTAAATGAGGCCCAGCTTCCTTTTTTGGAATATTATTTGGTCTGCACATCTTTATCGCTTTACAGATTGATCTTCGGTTAATGTTAGTACACAATGTAACAATTATATCACAGTTTAGATATGCTTTATAAATACTTAAATAAGCTTTTTTTTCATAGGCCTGAGAGACTGGGACAGGACAAACAGTTTATCTGTTTTATAAATGCAGGTTATTAATCTAATTGTGAATGATTAATCCATGTACTGTATATGTTTAATTTAAAAATTATTTTTGGCTCACATTCAGTTACTGCACCATCCAATCAACAACGGATGGACAGAACCAAGTCCCCACCCTACATTTTTTTTTTCTTTCTCAGTAATGTACTTTCACTCAGATGTACATCACCATATGGAAGAAAAGATCCGTCGCTGCTTCTGTTACATCACGACTTAAAAAAACACATAGAAACATAATAAAGACCTTCTATAGTAAATTGGATTGGATTTGCAATAGTCAGCACTCATTACTATAGTAACACTGGATTCTTCACTTTATTAAAATGCACTAAAATAAGTAATGTCTTACAAGTTTTCACTTTTTTGAAAGCTTTTAGTTCAGTTGTATAGTTATTAGTCCATTCTCTCTGCCTATAGCTTTGTCTTTGTCTGTGGTATGTGCTAACAAGCTTCATTAAGCTGTGCTTTGCGATCCACAGAATGTCCTTCTTTTCCTCACAGTGTGCACAGATGCCACCCTTATTAGGAGGAAATGGGTTGCAGACACTACGCTGTTGTTCTGCAAACAAATGGCTGGCCTTCACCGCTGTTCCGGCTTTATCGAGTTACTGCAGGAATGTTGTTGTTGTGAAATTAGCGTGTAACTTTCTCTTCTCTAGTGTTTGACTCTGTCTCTGTAGTTTGTTGTCACTTCCTCAGTATAACTCTCACATCTGCTCTGTTTTGGGAAACACGGCATGGTGTCTTGTAATTTACGCTCTGATGAGTTTCCGTGTTTCAGAGGCTCCTCAAGAGACCAGTACACACATTTTCGGAGAGTGTACACTCGTATTTTGGAGAAATAAATTGCGGTGAGATGAGGACACATCTTGCTGTCATATCTTCTAGAGTGCTATCATTTTTTTTTTCGAGGCTTGGCTGGTGTGTCTATCAAAGTAGGGTCTCCTGAGGTAATTTACTTCATGTTGCAGCCCTGCAGCTTCTTGGAGTCGTATCTCACTCCAACAGCTCACATATTTGCCTGAACATCAGAGAGCCAAGAGAGTCCAAGAAAACCATGTTCTTCTAAAAAATGAAGAAAAGAAAAAGTATCTTGAACCGAGATTATTTAGTAATTCAAGTCAGTTGTTTATCTTATTATTATATAATATTTTTATCTTGAGTGAACTAAATAAGAATACTCAAAACATGTTGCGAACAAAAGTTTTGTTGACCTTACTTAGATTCTCAAGTATTTGTCCAAAACTTGTCCAAATGTTGTCCCAACTTTCCAAATGGGGTTATCTGAACAAACAATTTTATGTTGAACAATCTTGTGCCATTTCTCAGCATGCACTGCAGCTTGAAAAAATTTGGGATGTGGTAACTTTTTAAAAAACATTTATTCATTTAATTATTGCTTTGCATTTACTCGCTTAATATGCTGCTGCTGCTGCTGTTGTTATTATTACTGTCTTTAGCTGTCAAATGGTTGAGAGTTCATATTTTTACTGAATTAATATTGGTTGATCATCACAATGTTTGAGATGTGTGTGTTGAGCTGCTTCTCACTGCTGCTTTTAATTGTAGTATATTTGCGTAACAGGGTAAAAAGTTTGCCTCTTGTTTTAATAATCAAATAATGTTCATGTCATGTAGTTTGTTTTTTAAATCAAACATGGGGATGAACAACAGGGATTGTAGCTGCTTGCATTGCTAAATGCTAAACATTCTATGGTTGCCTTGACAAGAATTTTAAAGTTCAAAAGACTACTTGTTACTCATTAGATCATGAAGAAAAGTATTTAAGTTTACTTTAATTGAGCAAATTAGTTGTTAACTTAAAAAGTTGAATGTGATAGGTTAATGCCTTATTGTTTTAAGTTGTTTTACAGTGTAGCATGTGATGGCAAAACAATTTGACAACTTTTCAGCATGAAATTAGAAAACATGGACAAGCAGATGAGTGAAAATAAACTTTTCAAAGATTACCAGGGATATACAGGTCCTTCTCCAAAAATTAGCATATTGTGATAAAGTTCATTATTTTCCATAATGTAATGATAAAAATGAAACTTTCATATATTTTAGATTCATTGCACACCAACTGAAATATTTCAGGTCTTTTATTGTTTTAATACTGATGATTTTGGCATACAGCTCATGAAAACCCCAAATTCCTGTCTCAAAAAATTTGCATATTTCATCCGACCAATAAAAGAAGTGTTTTTAATACAAAAAAATAAAGTCAAACTTCAAATAATTATGTTCAGTTATGCACTCAATAGTCAATACTTGGTTGGGAATCCTTTTGCAGAAATGACTGCTTCAATGCGGCGTGGCATGGAGGCAATCAGCCTGTGGCACTGCTGAGGTGTTATGGAGGCCCAGGATGCTTCGATAGCGGCCTTAAGCTCATCCAGAGTGTTGGGTCTTGCGTCTCTCAACTTTCTCTTCACAATATCCCACAGATTCTCTATGGGGTTCAGGTCAGGAGAGTTGGCAGGCCAATTGAGCACAGTAATACCATGGTCAGTAAACCATTTACCAGTGGTTTTGGCACTGTGAGCAGGTGCCAGGTCGTGCTGAAAAATGAAATCTTCATCTCCATAAAGCTTTTCAGCAGATGGAAGCATGAAGTGCTCCAAAATCTCCTGATAGCTAGCTGCATTGACCCTGCCCTTGATAAAACACAGTGCACCAACACTAGCAGCTGACATGGCACCCCAGACCATCACTGACTGTGGGTACTTGACACTGGACTTCAGGCATTTTGGCATTTCCTTATCCCCAGTCTTCCTCCAGACTCTGGCACCTTGATTTCCGAATGACATGCAAAACTGAGCAACAGTCCAGTGCTGCTTCTCTGTAGCCCAGGTCAGGCGCTTCTGCCGCTGTTTCTGGTTCAAAAGTGGCTTGACCTGGGGAATGCGGCACCTGTAGCCCATTTCCTGCACACGCCTGTGCACGTTGGCTCTGGATGTTTCTACTCCAGACTCAGTCCACTGCTTCCGCAGGTCCCCCAAGGTCTGGAATCGGTCCTTCTCCACAATCTTCCTCAGGGTCCGGTCACCTCTTCTCGTTGTGCAGCGTTTTTTGCCACACTTTTTCCTTCCCACAGACTTCCCACTGAGGTGCCTTGATACAGCACTCTGGGAACAGCCTATTTGTTCAGAAATTTCTTTCTGTCTTACCCTCTTGCTTGAGGGTGTCAATGATGGCCTTCTGGACAGCAGTCAGGTCGGCAGTCTTACCCATGATTGCGGTTTTGAGTATCGAAACAGGCTGGGAGTTTTTAAAAGCCTCAGGAATCTTTTGCAGGTGTTTAGAATTAATTAGTTGATTCAGATGATTAGGTTAATAGCTTGTTTAGAGACCCTTTTCATTATATGCTAATTTTTTGAGACAGGGATTTTGGGTTTTCATGAGCTGTATGCCAAAATCATCAGTATTAAAACAATAAAAGACCTGAAATATTTCAGTTGGTGTGCAATGAATCTAAAATATATGAAAGTTAATTTTTAAAAATTTTAAAATTTTTATCATTACATTATGGAAAATAATGAACTTTATCACAATATGCTAATTTTTGGAGAAGGACCTGTACATGACCATTTAAAAGTTTGGGTTCAGTAAGATTTTTTTTTTTTAAGAAATACATTTTATTCAGCATGGACACATTAAATTGACCAAAAGTGACAGTAAAGACATTTATAATGTTACAAATAGTTTCAAATAAATGCTGTTCTTTTGAACTGTCTATTCATTAATAATGCCCTACAAAATGTAACTGTACAGAAATGTCTGTACAGCGTATTAGAATAATTTCTGAAGGATCATGTGACAATGAACTTGAGGCTAAAGTAAAAGCTCCTGATATATAAATAAATAAATAAATAAATATATATATATATATCTCTTTTAAATATATTAAAATATAAAACAGTTATTTTAAATTGTTATAATATTTCACATTATTACTGTTTTTACTGTAGTTTTGATTAAATAAGTACAGCCTTGGTGAGCATAATAGACTTCTTTCAAAAGCATAAAAAAAGTCTTACAGACCAGACTTTTGAATGGTAGTCTTTGTTGAAGGCTAAATACTTAAGTTGAATACAAGCATGAGAGTGTGTGTTGTTGTTTGCATTTGTTTTTATTGGTTTAGACCTTTATTCAAGCTCTAGTGATCCCCCTTACCAGTTAATTGAACATGTCTCGCCTTTCTCTAATTGCCGTTTATTGATTGGTCGAAAGTCCAGAGGCTTTGTTTGTTAAGCTTTATAAGTTTCATCCATTGACCCTGTGACTGCCCATTAATTTGATTCAAGCCTTTTGTTATTCGCAGACTTAATAAATTGAGATTATTAGATAAGTTCACAGTAAAACCCCAATTAAGAGATGGAAATCAAAACATTCGACACTAATCTTCCATGTGTTAATGTTGTTCCTAGATCCTGGTATACAGGGAAAATTTGGGAATTTCTGAGGGACAATATTCCTCAATTCCAGTTGGAGGAAGAGAGCTCAGAGGAGAAGACCACGACAACAGATTCTAATGTGAACGAGATCAAGAGTGAATCTCCCACAGTACTTCAGAGCAGAGGTACCGACCCGCACACACATCAGTCATTTATCCCTTAACAATATGTGACATGTCTGATTAAAAGACACCGGCAGAGAGTGTAAATGAGAGAATCAATATGGCGAGATGCCTGCTGTGCAAATGGCTCTTTCTTTAAGAGTTTTTTAATGGAACTTTAAAATGGGGTTTTAGAATTCAAAGTCAATTAAGTTTAACGGTGTAGAATATCAAGTGTTTAACAAGTATTTGAGACTTTTCAGTCTATGATACCTTGTGCTAACACTCTTTGTAAGTTGATATAGAGGCTAATGAAAACATAATTATGATGATTATTGGAAATGCACAAGATTGTCATTCTGAATGTTGCAGTGTAGAAGTTTAGTGGCATAGTGGTAACCTTTTGTTCCTAGGCTTATTGGTACAATGGCAGTATTTAGTGAGAGTAGGGATATTAATAGCTATTTAGCGCTTGAAATTCACAGGGCCTCACTTGATCAATCTGAAGCCATGTTTTTACCACTATAGAACTGTTGCGAGTGGAAGGCCTCATGAACATTTTTGATTTTAAAGCTTTGAGGTCATATCCGTGCTAGTGCACTCCTAAAAGTTGACCAAATGAACCCTTTAGCATAGAGGTCTTCAACCCTACTCCTTGAGACCCGTCCTGCAAAGTTTATTTCTAACCTGCTTTAGCACACCTGAATTTCACACTAATGTGATTTTCAAATGGTCCTGTAGAGCTTTATTAGCTTGTTCGGGTGTTTTTGATTAGGGTTGGAGCTAAACTCTCCTGGACAGTAGGTCTCAGGAGCAGGGTTAAAGATCTCTGGGTTAGCAGATATACAAATTTAAAGGTTATAGTCTCTTCTTGGAAAATGATCAAATATTTATGATTTGATATTAGGGTATTTTAAATGCATGATTTCAGGGCCTGAAAATATATTTTTTTCTGGTAATGCTCCAATTATTTATTTGGCTAGAAAGTACTCTTTATTAATGTCTTGGGAAAATAAATAGAAATGTGTAATGTCTCTAATGGAAATTTGTAATTTCTTAAAAAAACATGGACATTTCTGTAGTCAATATACACTTTTCTAGTAATGCTCAAATTATTTATTCTGCTAGAAGTTGCTGTTTGTGATTGTCACGGAAAGTTATGGAAATTATTAATATTCTAAAAAGTCATGGATATTGCTATAGTCAATATAAATTTCTGGTAATGCTCAAATTATGTCTTTGACTACAAATTAAGCCAGGGACACACTTAACGACTGTAAGGCCGATTATGAATGTAATTTGATACTTAGGACTGATCATGCCTAAACGTGCCTAGTCAGAGATAGTTGCATTCAGTCGGTGTTTAAAATCTGCTCCAGTCGTTGGAAACAGTCTGTAAGTGTGTTCAGTTCAGTCTTAGAATGTTTCAGCTAGTTGTTAAGTGTGTCCCTGGCATTACTCGTGTGATCTCTATAAAATGAGTTTTTGAAAATCCTTATTCAGTTATCATAAAAGCATAGAAAAGTCATGGAAATTCTTTGATCTGAAAGTGTGGGGACCCTTCTATAGTCCTGTATTTTGATTTTTTTTTTGTGTGTGTGTGTGAATATTATGTTTTTATTTTGAATTTAAGGCAATATATAACAGTACAAGGAGATAACGACAAGGAGAAAACAAAGGGGTTATTTTACAACTGTTGAATTACATTAGTTTTATACATATATTTTATAATGTTATACATTTATTTCTAGGCCAGTGGGCACGGGCAATGTGGTGATCATGCAAACAATAAAAGGATCAAACATTTAAACAGTTATCCTTGAAATTTGATAGATGATTAAGAAAGGGTTCCTAGGTGGCCTCGAAAGCCAGCAATGTTAGGTTGTATTGAGTTCAGACAGCCAAGATTTAAAAAGTGGTTTTGATGCCTTTTCCCATAGACAGCCACCTGAAATTAAAAATTAAATATGAAATAATAATAAAAATAATAATATAAAACCGTTTTAATATTCAATGTCAGTACAAAAAAGAAAACTGAAATTGTCATATTCATAGGGTCTTTAAAGATGATCCTTAAGGTGTGGACATAAAATGTTCTGTTTTTCTTGTAAGAGTCTGCTAAGAGGAAGAACAAAGACAGAAAGACCATTCAGCCCAGTGCAGCTATCCATCCAAATCAAAGTCAGTTTTTTTGTTGTCTTGTACTTATATGGTTCTTTTCCCTTCTCTCCTATAACCATACATTATTCAATGTAGTTTAATATTTGATTTTCATACAAAAACTCTCTATATGCGATCTGAAAACAATAATAAATTGTATCCAATGTGGCATTGAGCTCTCCGTATAGGGATGGTGATCTATTTAGTGAGGCATTATGGGTAAAATTACCCATAAGGATCAGTTTGCCCCCTCTGACCACTCATCTTCAGGTAGCAGCACCCTCTTCCGTCTCCATGCATCACTTCTTCTGCGGGTTCATGCATTATGGAGTCAGTGCCACAGCCTTCACTGCCAGATGTGTATCATGAGCATGAATAAATAAAACAACCCCTTTTCTGTGACTGTGCACGTGTTTCTGTGTGCATAACTGTGCTTGTGTTTTCACAGAAGAAGGGTGTGCAGCAGTGTTAAACTGTATGTGTGTTTGTGTCAGACTGTGAACAGAGCGCTAGTGTTTTTCTCTCAGGTAGTGTGATCTGAATTGAATTATCTGGCATGGCCTCGGGTGAGCACTGTCAATTCTGTTACTGTACAGTTTACGCCTGAAATATGCAAGGAGAGCAAAGAGCAGCGAATCAGGCATGCACACACTCAGACATACACAATATGCATCAATTTTACACCGACCTGCTTTGAAAAGCTCAGTGCTGTTGTGATAAGGTGTAATTGTCAGTGTGCATGTAAACATGGTTTTCTGACAGGTCTTTGGAGACTAACAATTTGATGAGTCTATTGAGGCTAATGGTTTGCTGTTCAGATAGACTGTTTTGGATAATTGGCTTCTGCAAGTGAGTGGTTCAGATTACACTGGGATAATGCAATGTTTGCTGCTGAAAGTCACTCTCTCTCTTGTTATCCTTCACAAACATTCTTCGTTTGCTCTGTCCTCTTATCTATAGGGTCCTTTAATCCATATAATGAATCCATCCCCTCTGTTATCCTATCACTCCCTCTGGGTGTTTGATACTAATTAATGGGCTGGAAATTATAACATGCTTTGACATATATCACGTTGGCACCGTGGCCTAGATCTTCGATGCCTAAAGGGGAATCTCTTATTGAAACGTACTCACACATGATCGCTGTTCATTCTATTTATGGCACTTTCCATGAATAGGACACAAAATAGGTCCAGCACCTCTTAAAGTCCTTTTTTAACAAATTGTAAAAGGTGGTGCTTAACCTCTAGAAAATGTGGATTGTCGACTTGTCATTTTATTTTCCATGGTTTGCTAATATTATATTTTATTTTTTATTTTCTCTGAGGTTTGCAGCCCTGATATCACATTTGGAACAAGCCTAAATACAGTTTAAACCCCATATATATATATAGTGTCTCTTATTCCGTCCTCTACACTGGAAGTTTGAATGCTATGTGAATTAGGAAAATAGGGCTTGACAGATTATAGTGCCCTCTTCGCTGTTCATGCCTTTGTCTTTGAAACTCACGCCTTGATCTATCCACTCGTTCTTTCTTCCTCTTATTCAAGATTGCGCTCCATTCATTTGATTATGCTTTAAGCATTAAAGAGACGGAAGTCTGACAACTGGAAAAAAAGTTCAGCTTAGATTTTGAGGGCCTAAAAATGACACCTCCTTTCATGTATAATTCTTTTAGTCTTCTTCACACATGCTGTTTCTCTCTTTCTTCTTTCTGAATTAGCCACTGGTCTTCCTCAGATGGTAATGTGTGCCAGTTACCAGCCCTTGCACCTGCTGGAGAAAAGGACCTCAGTGCTTACAAGGATGGTAAGCACGTTTTTCAATCTGTACTATACACACTACAGTTAAAAAGTTTGGATTCATTAAGTTTTTATTTTTATTTTTTTATTAGAAATGAATACTTCTATTAGCAAGGCTGCATTAAATTGATCAAAAGTGTCAGTGTAGACATTTAATAATGTTACAAAAGATTTCTTCAAATAAATGCTGTTATTTTGTAGTTTTCTATTCATCTGAGAATCCTGAAAAAAAAATAGTTTTCACAAAAATATGAAGCAGCACAACTGTTTTCAACGCTGAGCACCAAATCAGCATATTAGAAGAAATTCTAAAGGATCATGTGACACTGAAGACTGGAGTAATGATGGTGAAAATTCAGCTTTACCATCAAAGAAAATCCATAAAACAAATATTGAAATAGAAAACAGTTATTTAAAATTGTAATAATATTTCACAATATTACTTTTTTCACTGTATTTTTATCAAATAAATGAAGTCTTGATGAGCACAAAAGATTTCTTTCAAAAACATTATGTTTAGACCAATATCTCCGCTTGTTTGATATAACTCCTCCACTGTGCACACTTAGCTAAATCTCATTAATTTAAAACCTGCCCCAAATGGTACTCTCCCTCCCTCTATCTTAGTCTCAAGCAATATTTGGCTCTGTTTGGATTAGCAATGGCTGTCTAATCTGCTATTAAGTTTCTCTTCTAAAAAAGATTGTGGTGGGTGTGTTCTCCAGGCTGATTCGTCTGAGAGTCTGAGGCAGTATGGGCTCTCTCAGCTCTTCAGTCACCCTGTGCTGCTCACCTGCACTCGAGACTGCCCCCTGGTGGCCCCTCCTAAGGCACCCCCAATTCCTCAATGGAAACTCATCCGCCCCCGCAAGCAGACTAACATCACAGATGAACCCAAGGGTAAGACGTGTGTGTTTTATGTGTATATGTGTTTTAATTTCTTATGTAATTATTATGATAATTGCTTGAGTTGGATCAAACTGATGTTTATGCCCTTTAGAACCCCCTGTACAGAAGCCAGAGCAGTTCATTGAGGTTTCTAGCCCCTTCATCAACTTCAAACTTATGACTATGGCTGCACATGACATGTAAGCTGTGTGTGTGTGTGTGTGTGTGTGTGTGTGTGTGTGTGCACGTGCGCGTGCTGCAAACTAAACTACCCATTACATTAAAGGAAAATACCCAAGCTAACCTGAAAACTAGAGAAAGTCACTAATGTGTTTACTTGCAGAACTGAATCATTTACAAGCTGCACGTCCAGGTGTTTAACTTAATAAAGACCTTCTTTATTGCTGGCAAATTAGGATGCATTTACAGATAGTGTCTAAAATTAAATCTAGGCATCATCAGGGGACAACAACTAGGAACAGTGTGTGTGTGTGTGTATGCATGTCTTTCTATCCCAGTGGGGACTTCAACCTGAATGCATACTGACTCATGGGGACCTAACTTGAGGTCCCCATGAGGAAACAAGCTTATAAATCATACAGAATGAGTTTTTTTGAAAATGTAAAATGTGTGTGTGTGTGTGTGTGTGTTGAAGCTCAAAGGAATCTTTCACCTAAAAATTAAAATAAATTTCATAATTTACTCATGTTGTTCCAAACCTGTATGACCTATATTCTTTCTTCTGTGAAAACATAAAAGAGAAATGCCATTTTTTGTCAATACAGTGGAAGTCAATGGTAACCAAATCTGTTTTTGGTTACTTTTTTTTCTTTCTTCCAAACTCTTCATCTGTGGTGCATGGATGAAAAGAAAGTCGAACAGGTTTTTGGAATGACATGGGATGATGACAGAATGTTATTTTTTTTGGTGAACTATCCCTTTAATGTTCCCTAAGCATTTTTTTGATTTGTCCCACAAAAAACATAAAACAAAACCACTAATTTCTGACAATAAATACATGTCTGGCAAATGTCACATTAAATGCTCTTTTTGTTCCCATTACTGTTTTACAGAGTGAAAACTGATACAAACTGTATCTTGTCTAGACTAAATTGCAAACCGCTTCATGACGATTCATTGGAAAGAACTGACTCAAACTATCTATTTGCAAAACGGGAATCACTTGCTCAGATTCTAAACAGAGCTAATGATAGCCGACAGAAAATGTTGGACATTTGTAGTGAGGCTACTACTTAACACTGTATGTTTACACAGGTGTGTTTATGTATGTACTGAATGTGTACATTTCTCTATAAGCCCAGTGGTAATAAGTACTTTGCTTTTTCATATCAATCGATTGATAATGCACAAATTCTCAGATATAACATGTCATAACTGAACCAATGACATAGCTGAATTCCACCAGGCATGAATTATTTAGAGTGTCTGAATATGAGCTTTTTTTTAACTCCAGGTATTTTTTTTTTCAGTTGGACGTGTGAGTACATTAGTACACCGAGTGCTAAAAGCAGTAATTGGCTGTGTGGGAGAGTCAGACAGGGACAGAGACTGTGGTTCTCATTGTGCTGCTCTCGAGCACAAGACAATATTCAGTCATACTTAATTAATCTGAATCTCTTTAGAGCACAATAAATGTGTGTTTAACCTCAGAAATTGGTGGTTTTGTTTTACATTTTTCTCGTATAAGCACAAAATAGTTATGTTTGTTATTAAATTATTTTATTTGTCTGTCTGTTTTTAGGGAGCAGGGAGGTGTAAAGAGGCGTGGGTATAACTCTAATCTCTCCTTTTCTGAAATGGATGATAGTGAAGATGGCCACACTCGGAATGACATCACCCAGAACAGCCTTAATACACTGGACATCACTGAAACCATTCAGGTATGCCTAAGGGAAATGGATATGTTGTCTTAAATTGCAAATATTAGGTGATGTGCACTACCATTTAAAAATTTGAGGTCAGTAAGATTTTTTTAATGTTTTTAAAATAAGTGTATTATGCTCACCAAGGTGTCACGGTTGTGGTGCGGGTTGAAGGAGGCTGAGGCAAAAGCTCCAATGCAAACATTTACTAAGTGTAAACTCAAAAACAGGTACAAGAAGGCAAACAGGCAGAACAACTCACAACACTATAAGTAAGACTAACTACTGACCAAGAATGACTAAACTGAAGGAACTAAATACAAGTACAAATCAAACATAACAAGGTGAAGACAGGTGACACAGATGATGATAACGATGAACAGGCTGGTAAGTGAGGGAGTGAGTTCAGGTGTGGAGACAAGGAGGATTCTGGGAAGTGTAGTGCAGACAGGGACAGACAGGTGCAGACGAGGACTGTGACATTACTCCCCCCTCCCGGTAGGCGTGACCTCACGCCTTAGAACAGGGGTGGGAGGGTGGGCATCCTGGAGTCCATGACGGGAAGGCGGACCGGGTGCAGGAGGATGGACTCCAGGATGGACCAGGCGGCCATGGCGGAGCAGGACGTGGGCGTGGCCAGGGTGGAGCAGGACTTGGGCTTGGCCAGGGCGGAGCAGGACTTGGGCGTGGCCAGGGCGGAGCAGGACGTGGGCGTGGCCAGGACGGAGCAGGACGTGGGCGTGGCCAGGGCGGAGCAGGACGTGGGCGTGGCCAGGGCGGAGCAGACGAACCCTCGGGCGTCCAGGGTGGAGCTGTCGGACCCTCGGGCATCCAGGGCGGTGGAGACCCTTCGGGCGGCCATGGCGGTGCGGACCCTTCGGGCGGCCACGGCGGAGAAGCCCCTTCAGGTGGCCGTGGGTCCTTGGGCGCCCACGGCGAGGGCCTATGGCCCCCCCCCCCAAAAAATTAATGGGGAGAGTGACAGAGTCATTACAAGTCTCTGGGCTGGACGGAACCAGCGGTGAAGGGGTCTCTGGGCTGGATGGAACCAGCGGTGAAGGGGTCTCTGGGCTGGACGGAACCAGCGGTGAAGGGGTCTCTGGGCTGGACGGAACCAGCGGTGAAGGGGTCTCTGGGCTGGACGGAACCAGCGGTGAAGGGGTCTCTGGGCTGGACGGAACCAGCGGTGAAGGGGTCTCTGGGCTGGACGGAACCAGCGGTGAAGGGGTCTCTGGGCTGGACGGAACCAGCGGTGAAGGGGTCTCTGGGCTGGACGGAACCAGCGGTGAAGGGGTCTCTGGGCTGGACGGAACCAGCGGCGAAGGGGTCTCTGGGCTGGACGGGGGCTGGACGGAACCGGCGGCGAAGGGGTCTCTGGGCTGGACGGGACCGGCGGCGAAGGGGTCTCTGGGCTGGACGGGACCGGCGGCGAAGGGGTCTCTGGGCTGGACGGGACCGGCGGCGAAGGGGTCTCTGGGCTGGACGGGACCGGCGGCGAAGGGGTCTCTGGGCTGGACGGGACCGGCGGCGAAGGGGTCTCTGGGCTGGACGGGACCGGCGGCGAAGGGGTCTCTGGGCTGGACGGGACCGGCGGCGAAGGGGTCTCTGGGCTGGACGGGACCGGCGGCGAAGGGGTCTCTGGGCTGGACGGGACCGGCGGCGAAGGGGTCTCTGGGCTGGACGGGACTGGCGGCGAAGGAAGCTCAGGGCTGGGTTCATGGGCTGAAATGAGTGTGTGTGCTGCCCACACACACACAACAGCCATGGATCCCACAAGGAGCACTGCGTCCTCCAGAGCTGGCTGGACGGTCTCTGGCTGGACGGTCTCTGGCGGAAGAAGGTCAGGAAGGTCGTCAAAAAGCTCAGACTCAGGCTCGGCAGAACATGACTCAGGGCCCACAGTGAGGGAGGATCCACAAACCCATAAGGTGTGGTCGATGAATTCGACAAAAGGGAGATGAAGATCTCCCAACAGCAGCATCTGGGCAAGTAGATCGTCCATCCCACTCCAGAATTGCTGCTTGAGAGATTCCTCATCTCTACTCACGTCCTGATAAAGGTTGATATAGACCTCTACATACTCCTCCAGTGATCGTCCATCCTGGGAAATCCAGTGATCTGCCCTCATGCTAATTCTCTTTTTCCTTTTCTTGGTCAGTAGTTCTGTCACGGTTGTGGTGCGGGTTGAAGAAGGAGGCTGAGGCAAAAGCTCCAATGCAAACATTTACTAAGTGTAAACTCAAAAACAGGTACAAGAAGGCAAACAGGCAGAACAACTCACAACACTATAAGTAAGACTAACTACTGACCAAGAATGACTAAACTGAAGGAACTAAATACAAGTACAAATCAAACATAACAAGGTGAAGACAGGTGACACAGATGATGATAACGATGAACAGGCTGGTAAGTGAGGGAGTGAGTTCAGGTGTGGAGACAAGGAGGATTCTGGGAAGTGTAGTGCAGACAGGGACAGGCAGGTGCAGACGAGGACTGTGACACAAGGTCAATTTTGATCAATTAATTAGATCAAAAATACAATAAAAGCAGTATAAAACGACAAAAACATTTTTAGCAGCCATTACTCCAGTCTTTAGTGTCACATGATCCTTCAGAAATCATTCAGATATGCTGATCATTTGTGATCAATTTAATACATCCTTGCTGATTAAAAGAATACATGTCTTTCAAATCTTACTGACCCCAAACTTTTAAACAGTAGTGTTTGTCGTATGAATGGTGACTGGTCTCTCGGAACAGATTCAGTCGAGGGTTCGGCTGTACTCCAGGGGTTGCACTGTTGATGCCCAGCATTCTGGCAGTGTATTTCAGTTTATGTCATCTGTACAAGCAGTGTGCATCAAAATGTTCTGCTCTCTGGCTGCAGTGCGGCTGGTGGCCGGGAGGCCGAGACAGGCTATGACATCCTCTAACGCCTCTCTCTTTCCAGCTCCAATGTCACTCTGCCTGTCTCTCTAATCAAGAGAGCGCCACTGGCAGTTCCAGTATTAGAGAGGAGAGATGGAGAAAGAGAGAGAATGGTAAAACACACGACACGTGCCTCTTTACATAAAAGGACAGGTCGTGTCCTCGGAATGTATAAAAAGCAGCCCAATTAGCCTGTCAGTCATCAGAGTGGATGTCTCACAGGGGGGGTCAGCTCAGATCGGACTGAGACCGATAGCTTCCATGTAGTTTGTAAGATAATTGTCTAAGTGTGTGTGCCTGTGGGATCTAATAGCATTACTGTACCCTTACAGGAATAGTTCACCCAAAAATAAAATCATCAATTTTTGTACTTGCATTATTTACAGTTTTTCCAAATCCACATAATTATTTATCCTGTCCACTCATTTCCATATAATGAAAGTGAATGCATTTTTTGTCTTTTTCTCACACAAAACTAAATGGTTATTCACTGAAAATTATTTATAAAAATAAAGCTAAAGCTATTAAAATATTTTTTATTTAATTTATGTAATTGTAATAAAGAACTTAATTGAAATAAAAAACCTAAATGAAAATTAGAAACGTTGCTTGAAATGTTAGTTAGTTGAAGAACTAAAATGACTAAAACTGAAATAAAGATAAATTAAAGCTAAATAGAAATATAAAAAACAAGAGCTTATAAAAATGACAAAATCACATAACAAAAAAACACTGAGACATTTCTCAAAATATCTTCTTCTACGTTCCACAGAAGAAGGAAAACATGAGAGTCAGTAAATGATGACATAGTTTACATTTTTGGGTGAACTATCCCTTTAAAGCTACACTATGTAACTTTTAGCCTCATAGCGGCTGATGCGTAAAACTACAACTATACTAGCGGAGGAACATTGTTTTGTGCTTCAGCTCTGCTATTTTGCGCAAATGAATCTGATGGTGCCCATGGTTACAGGTGTTTGCCTTATCAGTGCCAATGACACTAGTAACATCAGAACTCCCCCAATAACGAAAGTCGGATATCTGAATAAAATCTCTTATGAGCAGGTAAGCAGCTTATATGCCGCTGTTGTTTTGACTTGTTGAAAATTGTTTTAAAATAATGTTACAAAAGCAACATTTACCTTAGTCACAATGATTGGTATTCATAATCAGATGAGATAAAACTGTGTAAACAATTACAACTTGGCTTGGCTATTTATTGGCAAATAGACCAAAGCAGCAACTGGTTTATAGATTGGCTGTGTTATTATCAACATAATTGTTTTGTGAACCAATGAACAGCAAATTTGATTAAAGGTTCATTTGTTGTGGCTTCAAGCTACTTTGACCAGGGTCTGATTAACGCACAGGCCTACCAGGCACGTGCCCAGGACACTAGACCAGAAGGGTCTAGTATTTTTGTTTTCAAATAATTAAAAGGTACATAGTGTACATTTACAGTAGCTATTGGATCATGCCATGAGAAATGAGTGGTGAGGTCACCTCATATGATTTAGACCTATTATTGAGTTTTTGATAATGTTGTAAGCTGAATTGGGTATAAACAGGAGCAGTTTTACCACAGTAATGTGTGGAATGCACCCTGAGGTGTTTACTGCCATGTATAAAACAATCACTCTTTATATAGCTAGATTTCTCTTCTCTTCTCTTCTCTTCTCTTCTCTTCTCTTCTCTTCTCTTCTCTTCTCTTCTCTTCTCTTCTCTTCTCTTCTCTTCTCTTCTCTTCTCTTCTCTTCTCTTCTCTTCTCTTCTCTTCTCTTCTCTTCTCTTCTCTTCTCTTCTCTTCTCTTCTCTTCTCTTCTCTTCTCTTCTCTTCCTCAGATGCTTGGTGAGTCACAGTCTATCTCTGAATCACTGGTGATGTCTTTCATTAGATGTGGCATAGAGAGAGCTCCTAATTGTCCTCCACATTTAAATTGCACAGTCGGACGACTCCTCCGGCTTTAAAAGGCTTTCTAAGTGACACGAGGTTGGGGCTCAATCATGGAAAAAAGCACATTGGAGAAGTTTCTGAGGCCTTCAGCTGGATTGTTTCCATGGCACCACACTGTTACTTAAAGGGTAAAAAAAGTTACATTTGAATAGTTTTACAAAACGGTGTCTTAATTAGCGGGTAAAGGCTGTCATGCTAATCAAACCCGTGTCTTCTAATCCTGTCACCATCCAAGTGCCCTTAATGTTTATGGCATTTGCTCTCCTGTGAGCAATTAATTGAAGGAGAAAGCCCTCTCTGGTGCGAGTCCAGATGTCAGATTAGAGGATTTCTCATCATGTTCTGGAAGCCAAACGGGCTCAGCGCATGCTGACTGGATGAATGTGGACGTTCTCTGTCTCCACTGCTTTCCTCTGCCATGTCTCTCCCAGCTCACTATGTACACGTTTTAATCCCCCCATTTTCCCCCAGGTAACAGCAGAGGACAAGAAAAAGGACGACAGCATCGCCAACGGTAAGACGTGTTTCCATGAGCAATTCCACTGCACAGTCCACACTGTCACTCACTCTGTAAGGTATCATGTAAAGAATTGTATTTTAAGCTCATATTAGCCAGTTATTTGAGTATGTGTTACATATTTCAGTTAGCAGTTACACAAATTTAAATTTTGAAGTTGAAAGCTGATCTTGAGCTAAATATATTTATTCACATAAACCATGCCATCATTTATAAGCTTTTTTCACTTGGAAGATTGGGAAAGCATTACTCATTTTCAATTGAGTGCTTCTGTAACAATGTGCAATAGAAATGAAAGTGAAGTGAAAGAATGAATTTGAAAAGGCAGACGATAATTCGCCTCACTTATATCCCTCCAGTCATTGTTTAGCCATCAGAGCATTGAGGCTAATAGCTGCTGTAATGATATGATAGCTGACTGCCTTCACAATTGCACTTTCTCGTTTATCCCACTCTTCTTCCATCCAATCCGTCTTCTTTTCATCAGCACAAACACAGATGCACACACACACAGACGCATGGCATCATCTATATCTCTGTGATCATGATCGTGCACTCGCCCCTCATCACGACAGGCCAATTATGTGCTTTCCCTGAGAGCCCAGTGTGTTGCTTAGTAACACCTGTGGATAAGTAAATGGAGTGAATGGCTTTGCTACGGCGTCTATATTCATTATATGGTTTAATATGTTAGAACACCACACTGAGTGTAATGAGTTAAAGCTGCAATATATAACAGTATTTCACTTAATTGTCATAATGAATTGAGTGACACCAATGAAAGCATTTATAAATTCAATATGGTGCAACTGATTGGTTTAATGAGCTCTACTGATTGGTACCACTGAGATAATCATGGTATCCTCATGAAAAGTCTTTTTTTAAAGACCCCCTGTGGTGAAAATCAAGTTTATATGTCTATGTGGTGTTTTGAATATGCTATAAGACAAAGCATGTGCAAATTCATGTCAACACTATTGCTGAGTATTTTCTCCTTAAAACTGCTGTGAACCAAAGACAGTCTCAAAAACGTGGTTTAAAATCAGCAGTCGTTCATTTAGCAATATAGCGGGTGGATCTCGGAACTGGTGTGAGTAAGTGGAGGCGGGGACTAACAATATGCATATTCATGAATCCATGTATACTATGAAGCAAGGGTGTAGAGTTACATTCAAGATATTTTAGGGCTTGAAGAAATGTTCACAGGAAAAAACATTTAAATGTCATTTTGGTGATCAAAGATGAGTTTTAAGCGATAAAATTATTGATGTAGTGTCTGGACGGAATCACAATGACTTACTCAATTTTGAGCTTCAGAAAGCTTTTACACTCTGAACTCGTGAATGTAAATCAGGACTCTCGCAATCTAAATTACCGGCACGGTGCCAACATGTCTGGGATTAGATTGTTTTCTGACACCATTTATGACTCTGCGATCCTCTCCAGAGAGCCGGCGCCTAATTTCTCCCATTGACACTTTTGTGGCATACGCGAGAGAAAACAAACAGCCATAAACTCGAACGCGTGAGCCTCAAAAAGATTCGTATCGCTCAACACCCCCTCCCCGGCAAGAAAGGAATTCCAGGTGGCCGAAGCAAAGCTCCCTCCGAGACGCACACACACACACGTACATGGACTTTTCATTAACTTCCTCATATAAAGACATTACTAAGATATATTTGATATGTTTTTATGTTTGCCCATGTCATATTGGGGTATCTATGATTTTATCGTAGTATTAAATGAACTATAGGTGCTTGTAATTATGCATTAAGATATATAAGCATACAGTAAAATGTATGATTATATGTATAACATTTCTGGAGTAGAAAGGACAACTTTTAACACCATCATAAACTATGCAGATGAGCCGTCTTGACAGGACAAAGAAAGACTCTTCCCGCTCACCAAGTCGATTGGTCAGTTCACCCCGGAAGGTGTGAACCCGGACCCCCTTTAAAGTCAGGACCAGCAGTTTCCTCGCTCTCCTTTTTTTTTTTGGTCTCTCTTCTTTTTTGGTCTTCAGTTATTCTTCAGTCTTCAGTTATTTCTTCAGTTACAATTCAGACTTCTTCAGGTCTGTTTTTCTTTTGTTTGTCTTCTTCAGTTTTTGTTTTCCCTTTTCGCATTCTCCTTTGCTCATTTCTACTTGCGAGTGAAATGAACTTAGCCTGAATTATCTAGCAAACTTTACTTTCAATGGACATTTAAACTTCCTGTGACGACGCTCGCTCCGGAAGAACCGATAGAATGCGTGAAGGTCCGAAGGGCCGACATACACACGCCTTCTTTACTCAGCAACACAAGAGAGCTATATATGCAAGTATTCGTTTTATCGAGCTTTCAAGGCGTTTAAGATTTGTTTGCCCCCGCCTATAGGGCGATTTGATTCTTGTTGTCTCTCTCTCAAGGTTCCTTTTGTCTGTGATTTTGCCATAACTGTTGATCATTCTCTCCCTCTTTCTACCCCTCTCTTATTCTCATTCTATTTCATTGTTTGTTGCTTTATTTTGTAGTTTTTGAAGTTTTAACATCTACTCTCGTGTAATGGAAATCATCAGACAATTGATATATTAATATTTAATTATAATTCGTTGTGATTGATTTATTGATATATACAATTGTTCTATTTTTGCCTACCTGTATGGATAATTGATTATAATCCGTTGTATTTAGTTGTCCATACAGATACATTGGCAACGTATCCCCTTTACGGGTAATTTAATCTATGTATGCGATTCATGATCATATTCATGATCAGTTAGTAAATTATATTCCCTTTATTTGAGCTAGAATCGTTACATTGACTATAGGATGACTCACATTTACAATGGAGAGTTACTGCTAACTTAACCTCATTTTTCTGTAGCGTAACAGTAGTTCAACTGTTCCCTGCACAGAAGTCCCTGTCAGCCTAGAAAGTCAATCTTTCCAAGAAAACTGATATATCCTAAAAAAGAAATAGCTTAGTCTGTTTTTAAAATGTTTTTTTCTTTCTTTTAAGAGTAGTTGCTCGATTGTTGTTTAACATCCTTTCTGTCATCATGAAATGGAAATTCACCCTATCTATTTTCTAAATGGTTGTAATTGATCTTATTGTAAACGGTTTCTCCATGTTTCCGTTTCTTTTTTTTTCTTTTTGACCTTGTCATTTTTAATCGAATGGTCGTGACTTTAACTTATCTCTGGTGACTTTACGACAATCAAAATATCAGCAAAAACCCACCTCTTACTTAAAATCATCGGTAAGCTGTACTAAGCTCACATTCAGATCTGCCTCTATCCAATCATCAACCGATGGATGATTTTTTTTCTTTATTATAGTCCGTTTAAGTCGGATGTTCGTCACAATACTGAAGAAAAAATTTGTCACTACTTCCATTTCATCTCAACTTGAAGTCCCATTATTAGGTCCTGTGTAATGCTAACTGTACAATGTTAAATGATTAAGATTGTCAATAAGATTTTTTTTTACAGATTTCTCTTGATTTATTTCCATAGATGTTTGAAAAGGTTTGTAAAAAGTTAAGCAAACAAAATAGCTTTTATTGTATGGATATTGTAGCCATGCTAACATAGTACCTCTCTATATTTATTCAGAGAATCTCATTTCAAACATCTGCGCCGGAAATTACAATTCATTCCAGGCCTTTGTTATTGCATATCATGTGTAATACAGCGTTACTATTTCAGAATTGAAAAAGGCAAGGTCATGTGTTTGTGTATTCCTGCCAGCATTTCATTGCTTACTTGGTTTGTAATAGACTGTTGTATAACATCTTTTTTTCAATCTCCAAGATACGGAAGTAGTAGAGTCAACTTCAGGCCCCGACAAAGAGACAGATGGAAAAGATAAGGAGAGGGTGCAGACAGCCAAGGAATCCAGTGCTGCGTTGCTTCAGTCCCACGATGCATTAGCGTCAGACAAACCCCTTCTGCTGGAGACCTGGGTGGACCTGCACAACTTCACCAAATGCTTCCAGTAAGGGTCTATCATCTTCAGAAAAAGCCTAAGCCATATTATGCTAATCCTTTGCTATTTTGTCACATTAACTCCTCGTTCTTAAGTTCCTATTAAGCTGCAGGCTGAAATATGCTAATAATCATATGTTTTGTAGGACGTTGCTGATTTTCCACAAGCCAAACAAATATGTTCATCAATGCAGGACATCACACTTTAAGGTTGGGTTTTGAAGGAAAAGACTATATTAAATGTGCCTGAATATTAATATACTGACTAGTTTACACTAAAAATACAGTGATATTGTGAAGTATTATTACAATTCAAAGTAACCTTTTTTTTTTTAAATCTATTAATATATAAAATGTATTCCTGTGATGATTCCTAGTCTTCAGTGTCACATGATCCTTCATAAATCAATATAATATGCTAATTTGGTGCTCAAGACACATTTCTTATTATCTATCTATTATTGTCAATGTTGAAACAGTTTGTGCTGCTTAATATTTTTGTGGAAACCGTGACATTGTTTTTTTTTCCAGGATTCTTCAATGAATACAAAGTTAAAGAGAACATTAGAAATAGAAATCTTTTGTAATTATAAATGTCTTCACTGTCACTTTTGACTGTTATATGGATATGTAAATCTCTTGAGGATTGATACAGTCAGCAACATAAACATATACTGGGGGCAAGATTTAAGGTTAACCATACTTATTCTTAGCTTTTTTTGTTCAGTGCACTGGCTAAAAAAGTGACACTTTAAACAAACATTTTATTTAATAATTAAATTCTAAAAATACATCTAAATATATTTCTCTGTTAAATTCTTAATTTTCCGATAGGAATGAGTGCGTGGCTATAGTAACTGGAATTTGTTTTCCCCTACAGGTGGGCTGGGGCCCCTTGCTGACTGTATCGATGACATTCAGAATGCATTATCATAAAAACACCTAATACAAGATTGAACTAAACCTGTTGTTGTGACATTTGTAATGGAGCTTGGTATAATTATGGTATCTGTGGTGGGAGGGATGTGTTGTGTTAGGAAAGAACATGAAAGTGACTCAATTCTCTGTTAGAACTCTGTCTCCTCTCGACTGTCTGCTGCTGCATTGTCCAACGCTGTGGCCTCCACCCACTCCGTGGCCGCTCCTGCTAGACAACCTGATTCCACTGGAATTGCTTACACAAAGGTACACACACACACACACACACACACACACTCTCTCTCTCTCTCTCTCTCTCTCTCTCTCTCTCTCTCTCTCTCTCTCTCTCTCTCTCTCTCTCTCTCTCTCTCTCTCTCTCTCTCTCTCTCTCTCTCTCTCTCTCTCTCTCTCTCTCTCTCTCTCTCTCTCTCTCTCTCTCACACACTCACACTCTCACTCACACACACACACACACACAATGGGTGGTTTTCGATAACCATGCTGATTTTGCTCTTCTCTCTCTGTTGTGCTGTAATACTGGAGAGCTGGACTTTTTTTTTTAAACCTTATCCCATGAGAACATGTGGTTTGATTTAATATTTGGTAATTACTGTGAGTGTGAATTTATGTAATGGTGTGTGTGTATTCTATTGTCTCCTGAAATAAATACAAAGCTGAAACACAATAATATGTGCTGATGCTGACCCATTCTGTCCATTGTTTTTCCTTGTCTCAGTCTGCAGATGGAAGAGGTACTCACTTCCTGTTTGTTGATAACCTGTTACCCACAGAAATTGTCATTGGGTTCTCAGCTTTAGTACACTGGGGAGAGAGTCTGGAAGAGAGTAAGGACACATAGACATACTGTACACACTCAGTTTGTCTTTTCACAACAACAAGGATCCAATCTAATGTGTGTGTCTATTGTGTGCTCAGAAAAGGAGTCATCAACCAGGCCTGGTTCTTTAACAGCTAAGCCTTTCTCGTGGAAGAGCATTGTCTCTCAACTCCCCGTGGTGCAGATCCAAACCACTGCTAGTAAAGCTGTCTTACTCTCGCTTCCTCCTGGGTAACTATATCACCACCATTGCTGAATGACTCTAGTCTACAGAATAGAATAGAAATAGAAACTTCAAAAGAACAGCTTTTATTTGAAATGGAAACATTATAAATAACAGTATAAATAATTGTATATATCTTTACTGTCACTTTTGATCAAATTAATGCCTCCTTACTGAATAAAAGTATTAAATTCTTTAAAACAAAATCATAATGACCCCAAACTTTTGAACAGTAGTGTAAGTCTACTCCAAAAGGCAAAATGTCCCCAAAAGATTAGCAATACCCAAAATCTTTGACCTTGTGGGGAAATTTAAAATGTTTTTTGAAAATATAAAAATGCAGAAAAGTTTTCTGTGATGGGTAGGTTTAGGTGCAGGGGTTTGTACAGTATAAAAATCATATCTATGGAAAATCCCCATAAAACATGGAACCCAACATCATATATATACAGTGCTTAGCATATGTGAACACAACCATGCTAAAGTTGACTAAAAAGAGGAATAAAAAATCCTCTTTTGGAAATTGATCTTAATGCCTTAAAGGTGCATAACGCAGGTTTCTGAGTTTTTGCAGAACTATGCCCCCTCTGGCGACAAGCGAAACTGCATCCAGAGATGTGCACGCTCATGGATCACACGCACACGCACGCTTGCACGAGCTGTTCATAACCGAAAGAGCATCAGCCGCACAAATCTTTTGTTGACAGTCATAATGTCTTCAGAGGTAATAAAGTTATAAATCTTTTATCATTTTATCATTTTAAATATATGAAAGGAAAGGCATTTGAGTAAATTACACACTTATATGTGAGGGGAAAACGGGGGTAGTAGAAAAGTTCGGTTTTTGTTTCCATCTATCTCCATGTATGTTGAACTGTTTTATGTGTTTACTGTATCCACTTATGAGTGTATTATTATGGAAACACGTTCATGAACAATATAAGTTATTACTTTGTAAAAGCTCAAAATAATAATCATACCATACACAGTTGGTCAACAAAGTACACTCAAATGTCTCACGGTAATAAACAATCAAATGGCACTATGACGTTACTGTAAAAGCCAAACAGGCTTATCCGCCGAATTCACAATCCCGGGAACAATTTACTATTTTTTACGAAAAAGAAAATATAGCCAATGCAACGGCGTTCTTCCTTGTTGGTTAAGGACATGAGCACCTTATCATGTTAGCAAAGTACACAAGGCTACCAATAGGTCATACACAAAAACATAGGTAACTTTAGCATCTTTTATGGGATATGTTTTATGTTGTACTATTCTTCCGAAGACAATTCCTAGTTTATGAACCTGTTCACTGACAATAGTAGTAAAACCAAATCTGATTGTACATGTATCTAGCTTACGCTAAAGCATTAGCTGCTACACATTTTACGCATCGTCATTTGTTGTCATAGATTGGCCGTATCAGACATTAGAGACTGGGCTATATCTTACCGTTTTATCAAGAAAAAAAGCCAACTGAGGATCCCGTTTGAGAGCAGACCGGAGATCTCTCCATTTGTTGAATGCCTTCCCGAGGTTGACTCTCGTCTTACTCCGACGCCTGTCTGACTCCAATTTGTACCTTTTGGTGGCACTAGACAACATTTTTCTTTTCTTTACTACTTTACGTGGAGTTTGCGTTGGGGTTTGGAATGGACTACAAGCCGGTCTCTTTGAATCCATCTTCTACCTTTGACGCACGAGTTGTCTTCGCTGATGCGGAGAATGGCGGCGCCAGCGAATACACAAACCTGCCAGACATAGCCAGGGGAGCGTGAACGCGCATGACGTCACGCCCAGTCTCAAATTCGAGCCCGAATCCCTCTTATATATTTTACTGTACAGGATTATAGAGGCAATCTCAGTGCGCAGAGAAGGGCTCATTCAGCCCATCAGGCAGTTCTTTAAGGATGTATAGGATAGAAAAACAGGTATTTTTAACATGAAAAGTTGCGCAATGCACCTTTAATTAAAAAAATGAGGAAAAATCCAACCTTTAAGGACACCAATTTTCTTTGTGAATGAATAATGTATTGTAAATAAATCAATGTTCTTCCTTAAAATACAGGGTGCATAAGTCAGCACACCCCTATGTTAAATTCCCATAGAGGCAGGCAGATTTTTATTTTTAAAGGCCAGTTATTTCATGGATCCAGGATACTATGCATCCTGATAAAGTTCTCTTGGCCTTTGGAATTAAAATAGCTCCACATCATCACATACACTTCACCATACCTAGATATTGCCATGGTTTTATTTCAGTTAGCCTAACCCTTTGATTTGCATTGAGAGATGATCTTATGGAAAGTACCCCATGCCAATATCTAGGTATGGTGAAGGGTATGTGATGATGAACTTTATCAGGATGCATAGTATCCTGGATCCATGAAATAACTGGCCTTTAAAAATAAATATCTGCCTGCCTCTATGGGAATTTAACATAGGGGTGTCCTGACTTAGGCACTCTGTATTTTATGGAAGAACGTTTATTTATTTATGAAACATTATAAAGAAAATTCTTAAAGGTTGCATTTTTTTAATTCAGGCATTAAGATCAATTTCCAAAAGATGATTTTTTTTATTCCTCTTTTTAGTCAACTTTAGCATGGGTGTGTTCACTTATGCTAAGCACTGTGTGTGTGTGTATATATATATATATATATATGTATGTGTATATGTATATGTATGTATGTATACTATGTGTACAAATGTGTTGGAAGTGTTTTCAGTAGTGGTCCAAGCTGTGATATCAGTTCTGTAATAGCGGAGAACAGAGGAGAGAGATAAGAAGATGGGTTAAGAAGATACAGAAAGAGAGAGAGATATGACCCAGTCTGCTATTTCTAGCAGCATAGTGGCCTAAAAGCTGAGAGCCTACATTCAGAGGTCACACTGCAAGTGTAGGCACATCTGATTTTTGACGTTCATGCATTCAGGAAAAAGGAAAAATAAGATTAATAAGATTTTATGAAAAGCCTTTCTGTACTTCTCATATACTGTTTTTCTCTCTTTATTTCATTCTCTGTCTTCCTCTATTGCCACTTAATACTTAAACTCCTCTGTGATGAGATATCATGATTTCCTTAGATTTTCATCTGCAAATTATGTAAAGCTAATAGGTTAATGCAGAGCCGGCCAGATTCTGTGGGGGTTTATGAGGGTGCATAAAAAAGGCGTAAGAGCAACTTCAGTTGAAATTGTAATAATAACGTTTATTGGCAAAGCAGATTTTGCTGACTGCATTCTGCTGTACATGCACAAAATCCCTGTATCATCACTTGTGTAGGTCATGATCTTGCAAATCAGTCTTCTATTTCGAAGATGTGAATTAGGAGTGTTCTGCCAAATCCAAACCTGAAAACAAAGCTGTCTCTTGGTCAGTGGCTGGAAGCGACTTCTTTTCTAGCTCAGTCTCAGTGAACCAAATATGCTTTATTCTTAAGGCCCATACACACCAATGACGATAACTATAAATATAAAGATATAGTTCTAAAAATCGTTCTCAATATTAAAGAATAGCAGAGTTCACACCACAGCTATAACGTTAATGGCACAGAGAAACAATATCATTGAAATCACTTTCAGAACGATTTTATCCAGCTGATGAAGGATAAAAACATTGACAGCCAATCAGAATCCATCTTGAGCATTTAAAGTGACAGACAAGCATGTGGTTAGAATAAACAGAATGATATTGTCCACTGGTGTGGACACTAATATAGTATATATATATATATATATATATATATATATATATATATATATATATATATATATATATATATATATATATATATATATATATATATATATATAATATAGCTATCATTCTTGGTGTGAACAGGCCTTTACTCATATGATGATCACATGCTAGATATATGGTTCCTTTTGCATCAGCAATAGTGCTCCTGGCGATAAGTGTGAAGGGATGAATACAAAAATAGTTCTCATGGAAATCAAAATATTCAACAAACTAGACCCAGTGGTTTATTAGAATAGACTAACTAAACCTGAAAGTGGAACAACTTATTTTACAATGTAGCACTAAAGAGCAATGATAGAATTTCTCTTTCTAAACAGTTCTATTCATCACTGTTTGTTCTCACCAGGCGTCATGTTCTTCATTTGCACACAAGCGCTTCATTTGCCATCCACCTACATCTCTGCAGCATGTCTCCTTTTGTGTTTGGTGATGAGGAGACTGTTATGCCACACCTTGACAAGGCATGTCCACATTAACACACACACAAATACACGCTGAGGTTGCACTGACTAGTCTATTAGTTGATTAGTTCTGACATATCAGTACCACCTGTTCTATACATACTGTAGCAACAGTGACTGTCATTGGCTTTATATAATAACCTGTAACAGCAAAAATATTTGGATGTGTGCAAAAACAAAATTGTCAGTTCTTATGCCTCCTGTTTCTTTTTTGCCTTTGTCTAGGAGAGTTTGAGGTTCTGTGAGCAGGCTGTAATGATCGTGAGAGCTCTGGGTCGAGTGATCAGCTGCTTTTCAGATCCAGAAGAACTACCATCAACCACTAAAGAACTTGAGAAGACCCATGGTGTAGGCATACAGCAACAAAGGGTGGGTTATATATAGAGTCGGTGCTTTGGGGCGGCCCCCTGGGACCATGCACACTACTATACAAAACTATTTTGTATTTCCTTTTGTATTTTAACAGCCAACTACATCAACTGACATAGCACATATTTTATTCATTAAAATAATGACTGTCTTTCAGAATGTGAGCTCTTTATGACTCATCAGCAATGTTCACGCCACTGTATCAGCGAGCAGCCGTTAAAATGTCATTGCTAATCTTTTGTATTTATAGTTTAATTCAAAATGCATTTTCTCCACATCTTTTATTCCTCTTTAATTAAATTTTAACTATTCATTTTTACAATTAAAGGTAATGTTTTGTTATGCCTTTGCTTTTAGTTTTTTGGTTTGTTTCACTAAACAGATTAGTGCATTGCTCTCTACTTCAGAAAGTGACGATAGAACACAACCCACATTAATAAATGTAAAAGTGGCAAATGTGATAAATTACTCTGGTTAAATTTGCAGACAAACACACGCACACACTAATAGATAAAATAGAGGTCAGTAGATTGTATATTGCTTTTATATATATTTTTGAATGTATATTGTTTCTGTCTTGTACAGGTGTTCAATGAGGCTGTGTATCATATGTTCTGCTCTGCTCTGGGGCGGAAACTGACCTCTGAGGAGCTGTTTGCTGTACAGACTCTGACCGGAGACCCATCGCCACATGGCAGCAATGATAAAGCCATGGATGCACGATCAGGTGAGTCTTTGAAATGTGGGGCTGACAGAGTCTCTCTTTGGGTTTGATCATATAACACCTATCATAGCATGACTTTATGTACACATGTATCTTCGCCCTGTAATAGATGACACTCCAGAGCGCTGGAACGGCAGGCAGGCCACAGACAAGGAAATGCAGGCAGCCACAGTCCTGCAGGCAGGTTGGAAGCGATACCTTGTCAGAGAGATCCTCACTGCAGCAAGACCAGGTATAGTCCAGCTTCACCTGAAATGGATCTAATGATACCTAGTATAAAAAGAAGAGAAGAGACTGTGGATTCAGGAATTTATGCCAATTGTCTGCGATCTGATTTGTACCCATTCTCTTCTTGTGGTCAGTTATGCCTGACATCTGTTCTGTGGGTTTTTATGTTTGTGTGAGAGAGAGAGAGCTGCAAGGCCCTGGAGCTCATACTTATCAATGAAGCTGCCAGTCATTCTAAGCTAGTATGACAGAAGAGAGAATAACACACTTCTCCATCTCTCTCTCCATCTGGCTCCATACCTCCAAGCATCACTCCATTCCCAGCCTGACAGCATGAGTGACAGGGAGAGTGGCTGAGAGAAAGTGAGAAAGAAAGGTGCAGCAGTATTGGAAAGGATGAAGGGAAAGTGAGAGGAAGAATAAAAAGGATAAAGGATGTAGCAGAATCCGACTGAGCAAGATAATGTCAATTTATATTTCAAGAAGTAATAGCATCGGGGAAGCTCAACCAACTTTGAGTTAAAACAGGCAAGCAGTCTCCAAAGATCCTACTATTGCTCATCAAGCTTTAGTTACCTCAAAAATCCCATTTATTATGTGAAAATTACAGTGTGGATTCAGCAGTCACACACAGATGAACAGGACCCTATTCAATCGTCTTTAAAAGATTTGCCACTAAACCATAAATCCACATTTTTAATATTATGAGCTGGTCGTGCAGGAAAGAAAGATACAGTTCATATCTTTCTTCTCAATATTTAGTTCATTAATTATTTAAAGCTGAAATAAAATCAAATATAATATTAGATGGAAAAACTTAAACTTAAAAAATGTCAACGAAAATAAGAAATGTTGCCTTGGGGCAACAAACTGAAATAAAATAAGTTTAAGTTGGAGTACTAAAATTACTAAAACTAAAGCAAATACAAATTAATAAAATAAAAATCATTATTTCTAAAAAGAATTACTAAAACAAACTAAAATTAAAATGAAAACTGAAAAATATAAAAATGAAAGCTAATTTCAAAATATTTCAAAATATTATAATAGTTTACTGTTATTAATACTAAAATAACAGATTGGAAATAGAACACACTAATTTTAGCAGTGTTAAATTTAGGTATTAAATGTAAAATTGAATTGGTTCCACATTTTTTTAATGAATGTTATTATCTTTATCATTCTGAAAGAGTTTATGACTTTTTATTCACAAATGAGCCTCAGAACGGTTTGTCTCAGATCTGCCAGTATGAAATTAATTTCATTTTAGGGGCATTTTTTTCCCTTCAAGCTCTCCTTTAACAAGAGATGGGCAGATATAATAAATATAATTTTATGTTTCCTGAAGAAAGGAGAGAAGAATATTTCAATGAATGAACAAAGCCAGACCTGGCTGGTAAAATGATTGGCATTATAGAAGCATAGGGACTGAGATTTGTTGGGTTCATTTATCTGTGTTTATCGTGTGCTCCTGTTTGTTTGTGTGTTCTTAGGAACCAAGGAAAATTTGAGCGTCGCTAAGACTCTGCAAGAGATGTGGGCTCCTGTGGAATCAGATGTGGAGAAACATGCCGTATCTTTACTGAGGTGAATTATTCATTTTAAAGAATAATTTCTCTCCTCCGTCGTGTCCCTCGGTGGTACCATCTGCTGTTTACTGTCTGTTCGCCTAGCTTTAGTTGCGGGGAGGGTCTGTAGAGAGTGACCTCTGGCCTGGAGGGTTGAATGTGGCATGTGTCTGGGCTCAGTGGGTGGGTGCTATCTTCTCCCAGTGCTTGTAGCCTAACCTAGCTGACTCTGACAATCTGGGTGTCATAGGTCGGTTTTTGTCTGCTTGAATCTTTATCCAGTACTAAGTGTGCATTTCTGGTAGACACATGGTTGCTAATGGTGAAGGAATAGCAGAGCTGTACCCCTGTAGAGAGGACGAGTACAACAGAATAACGTTCACTGACTATTCAGTGCCCATACCAGAGGCAGCGAACTCCTGGATTCTGATCTTCAGGTCAGGAATAGTCATTTTACATATAAAGCAAAGCAATAATTTACTAAAAAAGACTTTTATTAAGAAATGCATACATTGAGCTCAATGTTTCCTTGTGTATTTGTTTAATGAACTTTTTTTTTTTCATGTCAATTCTCATTTCCAGGGAGGCATTTCATGTTCCTAAGAACATGCTGCTTGTTCCTAAGATCTTCTCCCCTCTTCCTGTATGTATTGTGCATGCCATTAATAATGACACCTTAGAAGAGATACCCAGAGTCTTTAACAGGGTGGAGCCATACATATACACACCAAACAAGGTTTGTCTTTGTCAGTAAGACAACCCCTCTCCATATTTTTTTTTTACATGTATACATTGTATTTTTTTATATTATTTCTTCTGTTTTACACTCTGTAGGGTGGTTATACGTTTGTAGCTGAGGCACATACTGGAGACACGCCTGTGATTGGAGGACAGTGGCGAATGCGTCTGATTGGCTCCCGAGAACCCCTACCACAACTAGTCAGAGAAACCCCAAGCAATATCTTTTCAGTAAAAGAGTTGAAAGGTTACTACATTCCTAATCAAAAGAACATCATCTGCAGGTTAGCACATGCATCAAGCGTACTATGTAATAGTTTATATGCAGGGGTGTACATAAGTTTTTCAGTCTGGTTCTCATGAGAGCACCTGGAGATTCAGTTTGGTGCTCATACTGCACATAGTGTGACCCATTAATATAACTATAAAAAATAAAATAATTAATAATAGCATTATTGCACTTTATTTTGTAAAGTGTGATAATACTATTATGTTTTAAAATATATTTTTTAAATTGATTAAATCAAATACAATTATGTTATAGTACACTTTATAGAAACATTTTTTTTTCTTTTTTACACTTTTATTTTTAAAGAGTTTTTCAAACCTAAAATCAGCACGCTTTTATATGCACTACCTGTTTTAGCACTGCTGAGTGAAGCACGTCAGTGAATGTCACAGCTTTGCATTTTGCTCTGAAACCGGCAGATTTATTATGTATTCAGTTGAAATGAAAATCTTATACAGTATTACAGTTATTCAATCTAAAATGGTGATTGTGCATTAATAGCTGTCGACCATGTCGGTATGCAAATGAGTGATCTGAACTTATTTACACAGCTCATTTTTTATTTTGGTCGCGCATGCACACCACTTATGTGCACCCCTGCTTATATGCATATTTTATATTCAAGTTATTTTGTAAGCACTGCAGAGCTCCAAGTTACCATTTAGGTTTTAGCTTTGCACAGCATTGCAATGAAATTGAGATTTTTAAGTGGATAGTCAGTTATGTTGCATCAAGACTGATCTAAACTGTGTGTTTTTCCTACCAGACATGTGATAAAAGTCTCCAGTGATCACAGTGCTACTGTGCTGTTTCAGACCTCAAAATCAGACGTCAACATTAAACTCAATATCCTAGACCATGAGAAAGAGGTCGCCAGCAGTCAGGGCAAAGGGCATGTCACCCTCCCAGTCTACTGCTTCTTAGCCAGCAACGGTTTGTACACACACACACAAACTATATATATATATATATATATATATCACACACACACAAACTATATATATATCACACACACACAAACTATATATATATATATATATATATATATATATATACACACACACACGCGCGCGCGCACACACACACACACACACACACACACTATGGGGTCGGTAAGATTTTTATGGGGTCGGTAAGATCTTATGCTCACCAATTATGCATTTATTTGATAAAAAATACAGTACAAACAGTAATATTATGACATATAATTGCAACTTAAAATAATTTAAAACATTAAAATTTTATTTCTAATTGAAAAAAATATTCAGCATGTATTACTCCGTATAGATAGATAGATAGATAGATAGATAGATAGATAGATAGATAGATAGATAGATAGATAGATAGATAGATAGATAGATAGATAGATAGATAGATAGATAGATAGATAGATAGATAGATAGATAGAAATCGTAATTAATTATAAAAAAAAAAACGGGTAACAACAAACTATCTTAAACTTAAAATGAATTATAATTAATCTATCAAATTAAGAAATATATTTGGACACTTAAAGGGTTAGTTCACCCCAAAATGAAAATTCTGTCAGTAATTACTCACCCTCATGTTGTTCCAACCCCGTAAGACTTTCGTTCATCTTCGGAACACAAATTAAGATATTTTTGATTAAATCTGAGAGCTGGATCACTCCTCCATAGGCTTCTTAAGGGATCGAAACTGACCGGCCCAGAAAAGTTAAAGACATCGTTAAAATAGTCCAAGTGACTACAGTGGCTCTATCTTTAAGTTTATCAAAAATATCTTAATTTGTGTTCCGAAGATGAACGAAAGTCTTACGGGGTTGGAACAACATGAGGGTGAGTAATTACTGACGGAATTTTCATTTTGGGGTGAACTAACCCTTTAATACACATTCACATATTTCAACACATGAATAAATCACAGATGCAGTCTGTCACACACAGACTGAAATCCCCATAGACTCACACAAACAAATGGTATAGTTTATACTCCTTTCTTTTCCTTTAGTCCAAGACTTCTTGTCCACCCACTCCACATTTTGTCTTAACACATATTCACTTTATAAAGTCACTGTCTCAGTTACTTAGCTACAGCCTGACTCTGCCAGCTCCAGAGTGTATTTATAGGGCGTTCATTTGTGTCTGTCTGTGTGTGTGTGTGTGTGTGTATATTGGTTGCAGGCGGTTCTGTGGCCCAGGCGGGGGCGAGGCATGATCAGGGCAGCCTTATAGCAGAAGGGAGAGTGACAGGAGGGGGCGGAGGAAAGGAAGGGAGTGACCAGCACCCTACAGACACACTGGTACCTGTCACCACAGACAGCTTCTGCTGTCACTTGTGTGTGTGTGTGTGTGTTTTGTGTATTTGTGGTAGCATCTGAACTTCTAGTTGCAAAGTTCTAAGAAAAAGGTCATGATTTTTTGTTTATATATTGAAGTCAGTCTGTTTGCATGTTGATGGCTGATTTATTTTATATTTTGCATGTTCTTTTGTTTATGCACTGACTTTTTTACTTTCTACTTTACTTTTTACGCTTGTCCGTGTGTGTGTCTTACAGTTTCATAAGTATTATATACAGGCGGAAGTGTTACAGGAGAGCTGGCCTATAGATGAATCTCTCTCCTCCTTCATCCAGAAACTCCGAGACATAGAGTGCAGTGAAATGAGAGGTATGTTCAATCTTACACTAGATACTACAATCCCTATCAAACAGCTGTTTTTTCCAGGCTGTTAGGGCCGTGACACACCAAGCCGACGGACGGCCGTCGGGATGTCTGTGAGCATCTGTCGGGCTAGTTTTTGCGATGTGTTCCACACGTCGGCGGCAGATGTTTGAATTGGCGTCGAGGCCGTCAGTGAGAGAGATCACTCTGATAGTCTGTTCAGTTTTGAGAACAAGTCAATGCACGAAAATATAAGCTAAAGTGAGCAAATGAGAGCAAGCAAAGAAGTTAAGAGGGCACAGACTGAAGGCTAATATCAATTTTATGTCACCCCTCCTGAGAATTCCAATACGTAAATATTTTCATAACAACATGTGCCGCCTGGATTGAAGAAAGTGAACAGCAAGATTAATATTCAAAATGGTAAGCAAGCACTGCTTTGTTAACGGTTTGTATATCTGCAGTCCTACTTTTGGTTTTCCTTTTTGAATGACTATTATTGATTATTGATACCTGCTGATGTAGAGTTATTTTTTTACACGCAGAACGCATATGCTAGTTGATAGTCGCATGTAGTCTTTGTGGTGTGTTCAAGCACAGCTTTTTGGCCCAGATGCAGCTGACACGAGGTGACAAACACAATCGACTTTCGTCCGGCAAGTTCTTTGATGTCGGCTTGGTGTGTCACGGCCTTTAGACTTGTAACCGCGACTCACTCAATAATGCAGTATATTGGACAGATATACTGTGCTTCATTTGATGAAATAAAATATCTTAAATTATATTTATAGAATTTATTTATTTATTTATTTTTTATATATTTGTTTTTGGTTTTTTCAGTTATTACAGCAAAACAAATTGCACCATCTGCCAATGATGATAGAAACGTGACGCTTTATAAAAATGCATCATGAAATAAACGGAGCAATTCCAATAGGGTCCTCACACCATCGGTGCTCTGGCCCTAATAATACCAAATTACCATTAAGATTCAACTCGAGCTAATCTCTGTTTGTCAAAAAAAACACAGTATTCTGTGTTGGTGTGCTTTGGCAGTGAAATGTGCTTAAATTTGCCATTTCTGGTTGATTCATCCCTGATGATTCAGTCTGGATCCACTAATTTCAGAAAACAACTGCTTGCTGACGTTTGTGAGGTTCATGCCATCAAATCTCACATGTTGTTTGAGGTTGTTTGTATCAGCTAAACAAGATTCTAAATTCTTCGGGCTGCTGTCTTCTAATAGTAGAAGCAAGGCTTGAGAAATTAAATGAAAAATACAATACAATTACAAAAACTCGTCAACTGTCAAAAAAAATTAGTATTGCAGTGCATATTTAATGTAATTTCTTTTGTGTTGGTCTTTTGCAAACTCCTGTTTTTATTTTTAATGAAAAAGGTTTTCACTGTTTTTTTTAGTCTTTCTTTCTTTCTTTTTTAAACCTGGTCCTGAACTCATCTGGCTGTATGTGATTTAAATCTCTGTTCATGTTTTCTCATTCAATCTGAGGTGTACTGAATAGGGTGACTCTCGTCCCACCTGTGCTGCTTTGATTAACCGAGAGCTGGCCGTGAAAAATATAATGGAAGCCTACTAAATTCATCTGCTTGTGGTAAATGGGGAAATGCGATTTGCTCTGCCCTTGGATGGATGACATAAGGTCATTTGCTGTTGGTCAGCGCATGGATGGGCTGCAAACAACCTTGATTTTACTGAGGAAAAATGAATAAACAAGAAGCTCATAGAAATGGAAATGGGAAGGATTGAGATGTAGAAAGAGGAGTCTATTGGCTGTGCATGTTTTGTGAAGAGGTAGTGGAAATAAACTAGTTTGCATGATTGCCTGGCTCCAATAATAACATTAAGATTCTTTTGTCCTTCTGATCCCTTGATATTAAATGTATTCCTTGTTTTGTGCATCCATAATTTAGCTGAATCTGTGGTTAAATGTCTCTGATTGGGCTTTTATCAGTGATGTAAGTGTGTGTAGATCAGCACGTGCACTGTACTTTCAGGAGCGTGTGCGTCACACTCCACACATGCCTCTCATTTCATTTTCAGATAAGCATGTGTAAATGGGTCAATGGGAAGTCAAATGAAGTTGGCTCTTGCCCTCTGGTGCCCTGGGAAGTATTTCTGGAGGAAAGAGAATTAAATTAACCCAATTGAGTGGCTCTCAGTGGAGCAGAGCCACCCTGAACAGTTACCACACACACCAATCAATAAATGCACACAGGAACCAGGCCCAGTGCACTGAACTAAGCCTCATATGGAAGACATAGAGTATGGCTGCTCTTTAGGTTCCCGGCTGGAATGACCTCTGTGCTTGCTTTCAGTGCTCCCAGTGTCACAGACAGTGCAGAATTTTATTGTTTTCACATATTCTGTAATCAATTAATTATATTGTGTGTGTGTGTATGTATTTGTATATATATATATATATATATATATATATATATACTACATTATAATGTATTAATTAAAATAAATACAATAATACATATTTATTAATTAATACAGTGCTTTTCTGGGTACTCAAAGCGCTTTACATAGAAGGGGGAATCTCCTCAACCACCACCAATATGCATTAGACGAGCAATAGACAATCCACACTTTCTGTTTTATTGGTTCAGTGATGACACTTATTGGTTTAGTGATGACATTATTATGACTCTCGGAGAGTAAGTTCAGTCAGTAGTGACATGTTGTATGGTAACACTGCTGTCAGAGAGCAGAGCATGACATTAAATTAAATCAGGTTAAATTAGGGCTCTGTGATGGTGTCCTTATGGATACTGTAGGTGCCCAAAGTAAACTGTCCAGCAGGATGTACCCTTACACCTAGAATAACAGAAGAAAGCGAAATACATTTGGAGTACAGTTTTTAAATAGAGCAATACTGCCATCTAGCAGGATCATTTCTAAAAAAGCTTCAAGAGGCTTTGTATTAAACACTATAATTTAGAGGTTTTTAAAGGATTATTTCTGTGTGAATAAATTCAAATTTTTATGAATAATTACTGTTTTCAAAATGCCACAGACAGATTGGACAAATTGTTGTGGAAATCGCTTGCTTATATAGTTGTTTCTGCACATATAGCTATATAAATATCAACAAATTACAAATTTTGTCAATTTTATTTCAGACCTCAGTATTTGTGACATTTTGTATCACCTTGTCTGTTTAATCTCTCTATTTTACATGGGCAGTGTTTGGGGATATTTTGGATGGCACATCCACGCCCGTGGGTACGGACCAACAAAACAAAGAAGGCCAGAAATCTGCTCCCAAATCGACCCATAAGGCCAAGGAACGTGAAAAGGACAAAGACAAACTAACATCTAAGTCAAGCTCCATTATGGACCATGTCAGTACAGTTTGTGTGCCTGTGCATATATATTTCAATGTCAGTATCAAGTCCCACCATATATTTAAACCATTCGCCCCCATATTCTCTTGCAGAAAGAGATTGTCTCATTAATATTATTCGATGTGCTACAAAGAAGTGCAAATTTCTCTCCCACAAGGTTTTTTTTTTTTTTTTTTGGTAATATACCATGTTTGAATTGATACATTTGAGGTCTTTTAAGGTTAAGCTTTTATACAGTGCATCTTTGTAAGAAAGAGACATACTTTATATTTGCACATTTTAATTGGATGAGTTGTAAGCATACACTACCATTCAAACTTTTATTCAACAAGGATGCAGTAAAATGATTAATTTCTTGAGCAGTAAATCTGCATATTAGACTGATTTCTGAATGATCACGTTACTGAAGACTGAGGTAATGGCTGCTGAAAATTCTGCTTTGCCATCACAGGAAAAAATTACTTATTAAATATATGAAAATAGAAAACAGTTATTTAATATACATGTATTATTACTTGTAATAATATTATATAATATTAGTTTTACTGTATTTTGATCAAATAAATGTAGCCTTGTTGAGTTTAAGAGACTTTTTTTCAAAAACATTCAAATTAATCTCACTGATCCCAAACTTTTGAATGGTACTGTATATGTACCAACTTATGTGTTTGTGTGTGCAGAGTTTGGATCCGAGTAAGCCCCACTGGATCCTGCGTGTAGTGAGTGACCACAGTGAGGCAGAAAGTATAGAAGTAAAGAAAGACACTGAGAGATTGGAGGAGATCAGAGCCATGAAACTGGCCTGGGAAGCAGCGGAGCCCGGCAGAGCAGCAAAGGTACTACATAACTGAAAAGGTACTAGAAGTAAATCAGCTCTGTCTGCTCAAAACAATTCCGCATGTGTAAATGATTGGTTTGTTTTGAAGGCTCATCAGACCCGACTGCGCTATCTCAAAGAGCTGCAAGAACATGCAGAGAGTAAAGAACCTGTCACAGCTGAGACAGGTTACACACAAAGATACACACGCTCAGATTGTGTTTAATATAGTTGCATATGGGTTTAGTACATGGCATAATATGTGCATGTGTGTATTTCAATGTTTGGATTTTTAGAGACACAACCTAAGTCCCAACAGAGTGGAGAGTTCCCACAGAACGCTGACAAAAATTATATCGATTATACACCATTTATCAGGTACAATACATACATTATATTATATTATCGTTTAAAAGTTTGAGGTCAGTAAGATTTGTTTAAAGAAAATGTTCATCAAGGCTGCATTTATTTGATGGAAAATACAGTGAAAACAGTAATATTGTGAAATACTATTAAAATGTAATATAACTGTTATAAATGTAATTAATGTAAATGTTATAAATGTCATTTATTCCTGTGATGGCAAAGCTAAAATTTTCAGCAGCCATTACCCCAGTTTTTAGTGTCACATGATCCTTCAGACGAATTCTAATAGGCTGATTTGGTGCTCAAGAAACATTTCTTATGAAAACAGTTGTGCTGCTTAATATCTTTGTGTAAACAGTGATATTTTTTTCCCCAGAATTCTGGAATGGAAAGTTTAAAAGAAATTTAAATAGATTTTTTTTGTAACCGTGTTAAAGTCTTTACTGTATTTTTTTATTAATTTAATGCCTCCTTGCTGAATAGTCTGAAAAGTCTACTTTATAAATTTTTTTTTTAAAGTATAATTTATTTTGAAACAAAAAATCACTGACCCCAAAATGTTTAACGTTAGTGTATACGTTGTTCTCTTTCACTCTCTTTTTGTTTAAAGGAAGTCTTTGCCGCTGCCTCGTCTAAAGGATAAAGAGGTGGAGGAGGAGCAGAGGAGGGAACGCTCTGAGAAGTTCCAAAGTTTCCGTCTGATCTGGGACAATATTCTGGAACAGCGTAAACAGGAAAAAATTGCACGTAAGGAAATGATGAAAAGACAGCTGGAGACTTACATTGGCTTTCAGGTTTGTGTGTTAATACTATAAATGCAGATTTACACCACACTAAACAAATGTTTTTTAATGTATCTGTACCTTAGTACTTTAGTCATGTCATTAAAAGACATTATGGTGCTGAAAACATTTTGAGTTCTTGTTATAGGACACAATGGATGCATATCGGCAAAAGATGCTGCAGGCTCGTGAGCCATTCCGTTCTCGTATCCTCGAGGGACAGTCACATAAGAAAATGGAGGAGCCGCCTATTGAAACAGTCGAACAGGTTGAGCTAGAGAAAAACCCTATTGTGGTCCAGTCAAGTGGACGTAAAAGTGGGGGCAAAAGGAAGTGATATGATTGACCACAACTTCATAGCAATAAAATAGTCAGTCAATCAGTCAAGTCAGTTTAATATTACACTTCTTTTTATGAAAAATATTACATTGTCTGTCCTTTTTGAAAATATATCAATATAAAGATTCCTTTGTAGCAAGTGAATCCAGTTTGTAAGATTAGCATGCAGAGTCACCTCTCACTGTCAGGTTATCTTACTCTTTGATTCTTTATTTAAATGGTTACTGTCAGGATTGATTTGAGTAGCTCTGAAGGATAGCCTGTCTCATAGTGGCTGGTTTTGCTTCCCAGAAGACAAGCCAAATGTAGTTCTGGAAATTATAGTTCCAACATTCTTGCTTATTGCGACATGACAATGACAATGTAATGTGATTAAACAAAATAAATACTGTAAACTCTTGATGAATCTCCCCCAAAAAGTAATTACTTTTATTATAGGAATAGCTGTGATAAATTATTTATTTTATTGCTATTTTACCAGCGTAAAATATTTGAGGATCCGAAGATAATATTAAACTTCACAATATCCTGGCCAGCAGCTTTTAGGTACAGTCTGTATTACATTCATTTCATGTTTTACCATAGCTGTGTCCCAATTCAGAGGCCGCGAAGGTTGGACCGAGCGTTGTTAAATGGGACGATCTAGCCTACGGAGGTTTTCTCTTGTCGCCAACTGTGACAGCTGCCGTTGATGAGTGACAGTAACACGTGTACTGGACTTAATATTAAACTGTCTGAAAACAAAACGGAGTTTACAACTTGGTACCTTCACCTTGGTCCATTTATGTACATAATAAAGAGTATAAACAATATAAAATCGCATGTTAGAGGTTATACTTTTGTGTCACTAGATATTCAAGTAAGTTGAAACCCAATACTTACATTTAAATATATGTAATCTGGCAATTTCTCTAAAAAAAAATGCTGTCATTATGCTCAATGAATTCTGGGGTAGGCTAGGCTGTGAAGGATGCATCTGTTGTATCCTTCATTTCCCGGGAAACGAAGGACCCATTTCGAGACACATTTGAAGGAGCCTTTGGGACAGTCTGTGATGCACCGGCCTTCGAAGGATGCAGCTTATGTGTCTGTGATTTAAGATGTGTGTTAAGGACCTCATGAAATGGCTTGATGAGCACATTTCTCTTTCCTGTGTTGACATTTTCTATTAGAGCAGGGCATATTGAGAATCCCTTTTAATAGCCAATAGGCTTTAGTTGAACTACCATTTGCTACTTGCTAGTCAGTTTCAGGTGGTATTAGGGAACATTCTCAATGTAAAGAACATTTGATTTGACAAAATTGCATATTGCAGGACGTTCTGAATCAGAAAGAGCGAGTGCCCTTAGTTGTTGGTAGGATTGCAGTCTTTTCTGTTTTTGTTGGGGTTTTAGGAGGTCTGCTCCAGGAGATATTATTCCAATCCAGTTGACGTTAGAGCATTACTCAGTCACTCGTAAGATGTCTCTGCTCATAAGGATAATTGAGGTTAAATCTTTCTCTCTGTCCCTTTTCTCTCTCTCTCTCTTCTGTTGTTCTCTCATCCCTAAAACAAACACAGACATAAACTTGAGTTGGGGTGTTTTTCTCTCTGTCTGTAAAGCAAAACATCTGAAGTAATGTAGGGTCAGAGAGATGTGTGTGTTTGCTCCTTGTTCTCCTCAGTCTGCAATCTGTTCTCTTTCAGCTATACCAACCAAGGAAGCTAATCCACTAAGCCAGACAGAATTTACACATGCAGTCACAAAACATGACTTTTTTCCTTGTATCACAGTCCAGCCAGCTCCACATAAGGTACGATGAAGTACTTGGGCAAATGCACAATATGTAATTCTAGTCCCTGAGTGCCACACACCACAATAAAAGAATCATTATTAGCCAGACGTGACCTATTTTGGCTGATGTCACTGTGGAGATTAGACAGAGGACTCAAATATTAATGGGCTTTATGCAAAGCTTCACTACTTCCTGAACTTCAGCCAGCCCTTTGTTTCCTGTCTGTCATTATTGGACAAACTGATTAATCCAGGTGTGCCTGGCCTCAGTAACAATAATCAGGCACACCTGGATTAATCAGTTTGTCCAATAATGACAGACAGGAAACAAAGGGCTGGCTGAAGTTCAGGAAGTATTGAAGCTGTGCATAAAGCCTATTGTAGTGTCGTACAACCATAATGTCTTTGTCTTCACATATTATCAAAAGAACTGAACAAGGGCAACAGTGATTGACATTTTACTGGTTTGTGTGTCATGTTGGGCTCAGTGAAGTTCAGATAATTATGGCTTTAAATCGTAGTCACCATGAAATCAAAATCAACATTTTTTTATGGAAAACTGCAGTGTTTGTTATAAATGATTTATCCATGTACATTATTATTATTTAAATTTGTCTGCCCATGTAATCTTTATTCAAAATAATTTCCCCTACCTAGTGTAACAACATCTTATCCGATTAAGTGTTTACTGGCGTGAGGGTGGGACATCCTGTAACTTACATGAGATCACATCAAAAGAAAACCACAATGATCCAATCAATTCCTGATAGACAAAATCAAGTCCCACCTCACCTTCTTTCTTGATCAAGAAGCATTTCAGATGTTATGTCACAATAGAGAAGAAAAGACTGTCACAAATTTCGTTTCATGCTGACATTAATCCTGAGAGAAATAGACAGTGTTGAAAGAAATATTTGTTTCAATTAAGACAATGATGAAATCAAATAATAACTTTCTACTAAAGGATAATTGCACTAAGCCCCGATAGTTTACACCAGTAATATTTATGTGTGTGGTGCACAGACCCCCTAAGCAGTAATATGACACCTAAATATTCAGGTGAACCTATACCAATATTAATTCATGAGATAAATCCCTGCTGTTTATGTAATGAGAAAATGATTGTGTGCTGACAGAAATAAGACAGAAACCCCATCTGGAACCGTGCATCATCAGGACACATGATGTCTTATGATGGGACTTTCTGTTCAGACTCTGATAACACACTCTGAATGACAGCTCTTAATTGAGAAGGTTTCATAACTGCATTAGTAATGGCCTAAAGCAGCATATTGCTCTTGTAATTTTGAAAGGGTGTTTGCACTTTTAACCTTGCCTGGGATATGAAACCGTGCTCCGATTTCGAAGCAGGTTAGAACTGCATTTTTGATTGATATATAGTGAATTCAGGTTGATTGGGAAACATTTAGCCATTGAGAGAATATATGCAGGGTTAGAACTGAATGACCAGTTGTTTAGCAACAAACAACCAATCATAAACCGAACAGCGTTTGCCTTATTAAATATTCAGGCGCTTAAACCAGTTCAGCGGAAACTTCACCCAGTAGCTGTTTCTAAATATTTAATGGTCTATATGCACGCATAACTTCCGCGTTTGACGCAAGGATGCTCGTGCGTTTCCGGTTGGGGAGATTTAAAGCGGAGGAAAACCGAGGAAAACGGTATTATGGTAGAGTCTTTAAAATTTACTGTCCTCTCGTCTTTGAAACGAAACTTTAATACGTTTAGATGTAATTTTATATATAGTTATGTTTATTTAATATAATAAACACAGAAGCATAAACAAAATGAGGAGTGTCTGTTTTGTCTGTTTTTGTGACTAACGTTTCTTTAGTATAGCAATAGAGTATAAAAACCAATATAAATTCTGGGTATAGCATTGGATCGGCGGAAGTAATCCAGCATCCTTAGACCTTCACCGGAAATACCGCCGTGCATAGAGCCCATTGGTCATGTCAATCTCAGTGCTGATTGCCTATAGTATACCAAACACTAATCTCTAACCCTACCCTTCACTCTAACCTTAACCAATGAAATGTGCTGCAGGGCGGGATTTCCGCTGAAATGTTTTGGGGAAAAAATTACGTTATTTCGTTTTGAAGTTTGAGGGGAAAACATATTTAGAAAACCATAGTATAGTGCACGAGACGTTGCAAAAAGCGCAACACTAGAAAGAACAAAGGTCAAACACGTTTACATAGAAAAACAAGAGGAAAACAGAGCTGTTGAATGTAAAAAAGGGCATTCTGTTCAAACGGTGCCTCAGACCATAAAGGGATAGTTTACCCAAAAATGAAAATTCTGTCATCATTTACTCAACCCCTCGGGTTGTTCCAAACCTGTATAAATTTCTTTGTTGTGTTGAACACAAAAGAAGATATTTTGAAGAATGTGGGAAACTGAACAGTTCTGGGGCACAATGACTTCTAGTATTTGGAAGTCAATGGTGCATTGGTGCCCCAAAGCGGCCTGGTTACAAACTTTCTTCAAAATATCTTCGTCCAATCGATGTCCTTTGGTACGATGTCCTACCTGCCTGTCAATTTATGTATTTTCTTACACCCTGCTCGCGCAGACATCACACGTCATCAGTGCGTTTCATGCTATGCAGAGTTAGACAAACGTCAGTCACCGAGCACCGCCACCGAAACAGCAGCCACCTTTTACAGTTCCTCCTGAACCAAAACAAAACCAAAACTGTTCTTTGGAAGAGATGGAAACCTGTGACGTTATACTCGGAGCGATTCGTAACTCGAAGTTATCCATTTCAATGTCAACACTATCAACGCTGATATGACTATGCAGCCATCAGGTGGTACAGGTCAGTGCTCTTTAAGTTGTTTGTGTCCATTATTATTGTAAAGTTATGTGCTTTGAGACATGAGGTAGTTTAATGCCGTTTCTCATCTCGTGGCTCTTTGCAAAATCTGTTGTGTGCATTTATGTGTTTTGAAGAAGAAGTGGCTTTGGAGACGCTCTGTAGGATCTCATGCTTTCAAAGCTAACTTGCTATTGCTAGCCGCTCCGAAAATTCCCTACCATACCTTTAATGTCAGCTGTCTTACATGTCTTATAACCCCTAGTTGAAGCATCTTACTAGCTCAGAGGAATAGTCAGAGAATATTAGACTAACTATAAGTGTACCTTAACCACAGAAACATAAGAAATGGGAAGAGAGCGAAGAGGTTGTCTCTACATCAGACTGAATGATTGACAGCTGTCATTTAAAGTTGTCTAAAACCAGAGAGGTGTTCGATCAGTCTGGTTGATGGAAATGATTTGTGTTGATGTTAGAGAATGCCCTTATACACTGCCATTTGCCATCTTTATTGTGCTGAGATGCTATTGACAGGAAGCCCTGAAATAGTTTTCTGACTTGGCCAAGATTGAGGAGAGCTGAGAGAACAGAGGTCTCGCTGGCTACCCTTATCCTTTAAGTGGAAACTGTAATAGTATTATTTTAAACCCTGACAACACACAAGGCATACCATTTCAACCTTTGGCAATCACTTTTCCTCTCTTCGTCACTTTTGTGCTTGAGATATTGTGGGGGTTTTTAGAGTTATGTTTGAAAAGTGAAGACTCAGATATTGAATTCAGAGCT